ATGCTGAATGAGGAAAGAGCGAGTTGGCATGGTTCTTATAGCATTAAATTTTATCGCTGTCCATATCTTTGTAGTAGGCTATTAGTTCTTTCTGTACTGTTGATCTTTGTCGTAGGTTATTAGTTCTTTCTGTACTGTTGATCTCCCTGGACGCCTGTGATACTTCATAACTAATTGGGATATCATGCTAGTTTCTTATGACTTGATTTGTTCGGTCTCTGGCTCTGCGTGTCAGAAGTTTGGCGCAAGGAGGAAATAACGTTGGCTGTATGACCATTTTTTCATGCAACCGTCAAATTCTTATGCGAAGTTTGCAGTCAGTTTGTAAATGATTCATTATTCAATTTTGGATTGAATGTCACTTCTCTAGGAAAGTTACTAGTGTAACTAGCGCTCGCAGAGAAATTTAGATATTTATAGGAGAAAATGCTATGGCCCTGGTACGAGAAGATTCATGAGAAGCTGGTGCCTTTTAAGGAGTGGTGGGGCCCCACAAAAACTAATATAATGATGCACAATAATCATTGCCGCCAATATTAGACCGTATCTAGTCCTCGAGTGAGGAACACATTGCGTGGAACTTCTTTTTTTTTTTGGGGGGGGGGGGGAATACGTGGAAGTTTTCCTACGTTTGTGTTATGGTGCATTAATTCGGCGCTATTTCATGAACGCTGGTCCTTTTTTCATGCATGACTAAGACTATCATCAACCAACGTCCCCTCTTTCATTTCTTAGGATCGAAAATGCTTTGATATCAACCGATAGTTTGATGCAGAGAGTGATCGAGTTGCATGTGTCTCTTTTGATCCTTTTAGAGTGAGAAGAAACATCCAATATGGAAGAAGAACTAAACCGCAAGATAAATTCCAAGACTAACATCAGCTCTTTTTGCTTGTTTATCGTACGAGGATAGTTGTATAGGTAACACATTACACATAAATGTAAACAAGAATGGATTAGCCTTCCTACTGGAATATCAGATCCAAAAGACAACTAAGGACCATGGGTCCAGTTTTTGACTTTGATCAACTAGGCGAGTAGCAGAAAATGGGTGTCTTGATATCAGATGTTGAAAGAACAGTACCAAGTTTAAAGGGAAGATCAATAACTGATGAGTTTGAAGCTGTTAAGAAAGATGAAAAGGAATAAAGCTCACAGGTTCTAATTAATCATGCAGAAGAGGTGCAAGTTATTTTGTGCCATCACAATTCACAAGTCAGAGTCAGTAGCTGTTAGCATTCATTATATAATTGATTCATTTTTTCATGCAAGTCGTGGTTCATCTTAAATTTTGCGAACACAAACATATATATTTTTTTATTTATAATTGGACAAATGCAAATGCATGAGAATCCTACATGGTTCTAATTTAACTGGAAGAAAAACCAGTACTGGGATGAAGAAGAGTTAAAAAGAAAACAATATAATGATTAAAAAAATCAAAATCGATGTGCCTGAATGATATTTGTATCAGTGGTTTTCTAATTGTTTAGCTCTTTTGACAGATAACTTGGTGGTTTGGGACTTTGGGAGCATTTTTAGCATATTTTATTTTATTCTGTATTCATGGGGACAAGGGGGTAATGGAAACCTTTGGGGATTTTCGCTCCTCCGCGTTAAAGGACATTTTCAAAATTAAATAAAGAGAAATTAAAGAAATTACCTTTTTTTTTTGTGTGGCTCTGAATGGTAACTCAGCACAGTTTTACAAAAAGAGAAACTCAGTTTTCATATCCATGCTTCTACATAAAATGATTCACGGCCCCCAACTCTAAATTTGGCGCTTCTCAACGAACGGTCGAGAATTCGCTAGTTTTCTCCATGAACACCAATGCCTTCGTGAATCTCCCATCTTTCTTTCGTTCTTTCTTTCTTGCTTCCTTCTCTGTCCACTCCTTCCTATCTCCCCATCTCTTTTGTTCAGTTTTCCGGCATTTCATTGCCGCCGGAATTCTGACATTTCGCCATGAACGACACCGATGATGAAAGCGATGTCCGGAAGGCCCCGATCATCCCAAAGGACCTGTATTTCATCAAAGATGAGACAACCCTCAAGGACCCGGATCTTGCCGATGGGGAAAGACCCCATGACGACCCTGATTCCGAAATAGAGGACCACGAATTCGCCGCCCAGCCAGATGGAAACCCAAGCCCTGCCGAGCTCAAGCTTAAAACCAAGAAGACGTTGTTGGAATTCCGGTGCAAGGTTGAAGATTCCATTCTCGGGAACTACTTGCTAGGCGAATCAGACCAGAAACACTCGCCTGGAGAAAAAGCTTTAGCCGCCGAAAATTTGAGAGAAATTGCTCTCTGGGGTATCCCATTGTTGCCCAGCAAGGCTCATGAGGGTACTGATTCGGTTTTGTTGAAGTTCTTGAAGGCCAAAGATTTCTGCGTTGCTGATGCCTTTGAGATGCTACAGAAGACCATGATATGGCGAAAGGAAAACAACATAGACACAATCCTCGACGAGGATTTGGATTCTGAATATGGAAAATTTATGTACATAAACAGCAGGGACAGAGAGGGTCGTCCTGTGTGTTACTTCGTTTATGGCGTTTTCAGAAACAAGGAGCTGTATAGGAAAACCTTCGGGACGGAAAAGGAACGCAGCAAGTTTTTGAGGTGGAGAATCCAATTCATGGAAAAGAGTATGAAGAAGCTTAACTTCAGAGAAGGAGGGGTGTATTCCATTGTTCAGATTATTGATTTGCATGACACACCGAAGCACGTAATGAAGGAGCTTAATTCAGTCAGCAAGAAAACACTGCCTCTGTTTCAGAACTACTATCCTGAGACCATTTACAGAGAGGTCGGTATCAAAGAAACTATTTCTGGTACTTTGATTTTCTGAAATCTAACTGACATTGAAATTTATGTTTTTTTCTTTCCTTTTTTTGGTGTATACAGATAGTAGTAAATGCTCCATTTTGGTTCTACACGTCCCAATTGCTATTCTCACGGTTCATGAGTCATAAAAGTGAAAAAGAGTTCATGTTGGCTAGACCTCCTAGAGCCACACAGACGCTCCTCAAGTGAGCTTTCTATCAATTCTTTCCATCCTTTTTAATTCATTGACAAACACTATCATCCTGATTATATTCTTAATAACCCGAAAAAGGTTCATCGCCCCAGAACATCTTCCGGTTGAATATGGTGGTCTCAAGAGGGAAAATGACCAAGATTTCTCCCCCGGTGATAAAACTTTACAACACAAAATCAGAGGAAATACAATGTCTACAATTGAAATTCCAGTGAACGAGGTGCGCCCAACTTTAGTATGATGTTTTCATATATGATCTAATTTAATTTTCATTCGCATTGGTTTTGATGTTTGGATTGCGTATGTAGCCCGGAGTGACCTTGATCTGGGATGTAACTGTGGTGGGATGGGAAGTGTCATACAAGGACGAGTTCATTCCAGAGGATGAAGGCTCATACACTATACTGCTGCAGAACCAAAAGAGAATGGGGGATAGTATTAGAAATTCCTTTTACATAAATGAACCTGGGAAGATAGTGATCACAGTTGGAAATGGGACCTTCAAGAAGAAGAGAATGTTCTACAGATCTAAAGCCGTAACCACTGTCCCTATGTTCATCTTTTTTAAGTGATCCACAGCAGATGGCTTAAACTGAATTTAAAGCTCGTAGTTTCCAAGCGGTTCAGAAGCAACCGTACGGGGGTGGTTGAATAGGTTGTCTAACAAGTTCTTGATTACCAGAATCGATTGTCTATGTCCAAATATTGTATAGGATTCTTTCCTGAATTGAACTCGAAATAGAAATTGCATGTGATAGTGGCTAGATACGTTCTGCTGTATAATTTAGAAGAGAATCCTGGTTTTGTGCAACAGCTGTATTAGTTGCATTAGGGAATTTGTTCCTGTATCTTCATGTGTTCAGAAATTATTCACTATGAGATTTTGTGTTGGATGTGTTGTGAAATATTCTAAGTTATCATGTAAGAATTATTTTAATTTTATAATCAAAGCTTCTCAAAGCCTTCATCTTTATGACAAAATATGTTTGAACGGGGAAGAGCGAAAAAGTGATTTCCTAGCCTCAAGAAACACTCGTATGAGGACAAAACAACAATCGGAGTTTCTGTTGGGGAATCATTTGCGCATCTTTTAATTAAGTTTGCATGTCGTGAATAAATTAAGTATTATAATATTCCAAATGTGCTAGACCACAGCCGTGTTTAAATCAAGAGAAGATTATACGGACCAGGATTCCGAAAATGCTAAAACAGGGTAATATATAATATAATTAATGTGGCTTCATAACTTCAGTACATGAATGTGCGTGCTTTCCTACCTTGAAACATGGACCTGCACGAGAAACTTGAGCATGTAGATCTGATAACAAGGTAAATTTATAGTTTCGTCTTTCTTTGTCGAGGCCGAAAAACTGAGCCAGTAATGAACAAGCATGAACCATATACACAAACAGCATGCAAATTTTTAAAGCACCATAAGATTCCACCCAAATGATAAAGCAACTGACAGCAGATACAAATAACCCATCATCATCCTCTATCCTGATGAAACCATATAAAGTACAATTCGCTAAACCTATCATCCTCATTGGTAAAATTTGGAAACGATTCAAAGTTAAAAGGGAGGGAGGGCAGGATAATAAATGAAGTGGTGAGAGGAGAAAGTGATGGAGATATAGGCGTGGATAGATAGAGGGCAATATAATGGTCCCTGATATTGTTTGGGCCAGTACCAGGTGGGCAAGAGGTATCACAGCTGCATGAGATACAAAGAGTGGCATGTCTTTGTTGTTTCCCTGTAGTATGAGAAAATTGTAAGCCAACTTTATTTATGAGGTGTCACTCATTAAAGTTTTGTGGCCATGCACGCTGAAGAATGTCTTAACCTGACCAGCCCACCTTGTGACGTGTCCCTCACTCGCCCCTCTCCTATTCACTATAAATTACACCCTTGAGGTTCTCCGCTTCACCAACATGCAAACACAATTAATGCCACCAGTCCCAGTCATGGCTAAGGTTTCTAATTCTCTCTGTATTTGCCTCTGGTTTTCGTTTTTGGTTCTGGGAAGCTGCTTCAATTTCCGGGACCAGCCGCAGCAAAATGAGTGCCAGTTGGAGCAGCTTGAGGCTCTGGAACCCGATAACGTAATCAAGTCAGAAGGCGGTCGGGTTGAGACATGGAACCCCAACCACAGGCAGTTCCGTTGTGCTGGTGTGGCACTGACTCGTTGCGTCTTGGAACAGCACGCCCTTAAGATGCCTTCGTACTCCAATTCTCCCCAGCTCATTTACATCCAAAGAGGTAAGTAATGCAGACACTGTCATCATCTCGTATTAAAGGTTCATTCATTGATTCATGTATATAAATGCAGGTAGAGGAATGTTTGGGATTGTGATTCCTGGGTGTGCTAACACATATGAGGAGGCACAACTTTCATTGTCTGGAAGGACCTGGAGGTCCCGAGATCGTCACCAGAAAATTCGGCTGTTCGAGCAAGGTGATCTGATAGCGGTGCCGGCGGGCCTTACTATCTGGATGTACAACAACCACAATGAGCCCGTTGAAGCCATTTCTCTCCTTGATACCAGCAACTACATGAACCAGCTTGATAGGACGCCCATGGTAATCATAAGCCAATGATATATTCATCTTTTCTAACTAGCTCCTTCTTGATTCCCTCCCTTTCATTTTGTAATGAATTATAGTAGCTTTTAACTTTTGTTTGTTTGACACTTGGTGGCAGAAATTTTATCTTGCTGGGAATCACCAGCAAGAGTTTCTGCGATATCAGCAGCAACAGCAAGAGAGAGAAGAACAACTACATGGAGGTCGTCGAGAAGGTCCGCAGCAACAACAGAAAGGTGGCAACGTCGTGAGTGCGTTCGACAGGGCTTTGATGGCTCAAGCCTTGAACACTGACGAGGAGACAGTGAGCGAGATGCAACGGCAGAACGTCAGGAGTGAGGGAGGCATCATGAGAGTGAGTGGCGGCGGTCTCCACATCTTCCACCCACCTCCCAGGAAACAACGACCACGCCCACGGCAAGGAGAGCAAGAGGAGGAGGAAGAACTAGAGGGCGGCGAGGAACAACAAGAGCAACAAGAGAGAGGCCAAGAAGGACGCGAAGAAGAGAGCGGAAACGAGAATGGCTTGGAAGAGACACTGTGCAGTATCCGAATTCACCAGAACATCGGACCTTCCGCATCCCCAGACATCTACCATCCACAAGCCGGCAGCCTCAAGACCGTCACTAGTTATGACCTCCGTGTTCTCAAGCTGCTCAAGCTCAGTGCCGAGTTTGGTTCAATCCGCAGGGTAATCACTCAATCAAACCCCCTCTCCCTTGTAACAAAATCATTTCAGCTGAACTATAATGCCTGATATGAATCAAGTGGTTGAGTTTCAGGATGCTTTGTATGTACCACACTACAACTTAAACGCCCACAGCATAGTCTACGCATTAGAGGGAAGTGCGGAGGTTCAGGTGGTGGATGCCAATGGCAAGTTGGTGTACAGCCAGGAGCTACGGCAGGGACAAGTTCTGACGGTGCCACAGAACTATGCGGCGGCGATTAGGTCACGAAGCAAGCAGTTCTCGTTTGTAGCATTCAAGACCCACGATGTGGCTATGATGTCGACGCTGGCGGAGCAGATACGGTCGTGGCCGGAAGAAGTGGTGGCGCGTGTATACCGGCTGAGGAGGGAGCAGGCGAGACAGCTCAAGAACAGGACTCCGCTTCACTACTTGGTTCCTCCACAACAGTCTCCCAGAGCCGTGGCTTAGAAACGTTACATATCCTCTGTCTACGGGGGATGAATATAATCAATAAAACAGTAATCAAATTCAATAATCAATAAAAGAAAAGGGGCATCCAAGCCTCTTGTTATGGGAATGCAAAATTAGTACTGTAAGATTCTGTTTTTACCTGTAAATGTGATGAGCGGAAAAAGATTCCCGTTGCTAATTAGTTTTGTCTTGTTTTTCCCCCCACTTTCACATCTAGTCTCCGTTAGTTAGACTTTTCATCGAAGTATTCACTAAAATATTTAAACTTCTCACAATACAATATACTGCTTTCGGTTCTAATTATAAGATCTTATTTATAATCTACAAACAAGATCTTATAATTAGAATTAGAGATAGTATATAAAATTTGTTTTAGGACTAAATTCAGTGCCATGGAGTCAGCCCCTTTTGGGTTATCTTGTCAAATTTTTAATCTAATTAAATAATAATTTTAGTATTTTATGTCTACAATTGTACAATGGAATGTTTTCTGATGGAAGAAATTAAACTTTGTCCAATTTCCTTCTCGACTTCAGTGGCTGAATTCAAGAATAAAATTAAATATCAAACTATTTTTGATATTAATAATCGGAAGTGGTAATAAGCTATCAGATAAGTCAATGGTTGACACCATAATATTGTCTGAACGACAATGATGCTGGTTATTAGTTGATTAACAATGTGAAGGACGAATCCTACCTCTTCTTCCATGCATCTCGCGCATTCTCACTCTGATCCAATTAATGCGCTTTCCAGATTCATTCCTGTTCTATCTCATCCCCTTCCTGGCCGCCGTAGTTGTTCTATTATTTGTAGCAGAAACCAGGCTTATCTTTTCTTGGCTTTGACTTTTTTTGAGCGAGTTTTGGAGGATATTTTTCCTAGTAGTTTTTCTTGCTTCAAGCTACGGCTTGCCTTTGTTATTCACCCAAAAAAAAAGAAAAAAGAAAAAAGAGAGTAGGCTTATATGCCATATAAAATCATTTTAAAGATAACACACAAACTGGAAGCGCTGTGTGTGTGTGTGTGTGTGTATTCAGTATTATCCGTCTAAACTCTTCGTCTTCATTTCACCATACTTGGCTTACAGACTATTGTCTCGCGGAGTCACGGATACGTATATCAAGGGAGGATAAATGAACACACGTTGCTATCAGTATTTAATTCAACTTCCGATGCCTGTGATAGAAAACGAACGAAGAAGACCCGATATATATATACAGTCTCCTGAATCGATTCAATCTGCTAGGTGGTCCCCGTCTCCTCTGGTCACTCGACAGGCACTCGCGTGATCATATAATAATACCATACTTTGGATCATTAGGCGATTCTGGGACGCATCGGGGCCAGCAAAATTCATGACGTGTAAGAAATGAGGATTCCATAGCCATGCAGGCTGAAGAATGTCTAAGTCTCAGTAACACATTTTATGACGTGTCCTCCATCCTATAACTCCCTACCACTATAAATGAAAACGCCCCAGGTTCTCCGCTTCATCGGAATATCCAGTCGGGTTCGCGATGGCGGCGAAGCCTAATTTTCTGTTTGGTTTTTCTTTGTTTCTAGTGCTGTTGGGTGTCTGCTTGGCTCGGCGGGCAGAGCAAAAGCAGTTCAACGCTTGTCAACTTGAGAGACTCAATGTCTTGGAACCCGACCACCGGGTGCAGTCGGAAGCCGGCGTCACCGAGAGCTGGAACGCCAACCACCCCGAACTACGCTGCGCCGGCGTCACCGTCGTTCGGCGCACCCTCTACACCAATGCCCTTCACCTGCCATCATATTCCAACGGTGCCCAGATGCATTTCATTGTCCTAGGTGGACGCTCTCTCTTGTTCTCAGTCGCTTTAATTTTTATCTCCTTGTCATTAGTTATTTCTTATTTGATTCGCATCGACCGCATCAGGCAGGGGAGTGATCGGAGTTGGTATTCCTGGTTGTGCTGAAACATATCACCACCAGAAGCTTCACCACGTCAAAGAAGGTGACATAGTCGCAATTCCGGTTGGAATTTCTTATTGGACCTACAATAATGGGGACACCCCACTTGTTGCCGTCACTCTGATTGACACCGCCAACGAGGAAAACCAGCTTGATCCAATCCCAAGAGTAAGCTCATTCAATTTTGCCAGAATAATTAGTTTAACTTAAAGGGTATATTATTACTGATGGGGTGGTTAAATGGGTGCAGAGATTCTACCTTGCTGGAAACCCAAAAGAAGAGCACCCAGAGTCCCTGCAAGGCAAGCATGGAACGCAGCAAAAACAACTCAAAAACATGTTAAGTGGATTCGAAACACGGTTGGTGGAGGATGCTTTCAACGTGGACGAAGAGACAGCAAGGAACATTCAGTCGCTTGGCGGCCGAACAGACCAAATGATAACAGTGAGAGGAGGTCTTAGTTTTAGTCCACAGTCTCAACAAGGACGAGAAGAAAGCCAAGGAAAACAGAGTAAACAAGGACAAGGAAATGGAAATGGCCTGGAGGAAGTCTGCAACTTAAAGATTCACCAGAACATTGCTGACCCCTCACAAGCTGATTTCTTTAATCCCCTAGCAGGACGAATCAGCTCCACCAACCTGCTCGATCTCCCAATCCTGAACTGGCTTCGGTTGAGTGCAGAATATGTCGTGCTATACGGGGTAAGTGGGTTTCATTTCATCATATATAATATGATTTTTAAGTAAGGCAAAAAAGAAATTGCAAGATCAAAACTGGGCTCTGATGTATATGCATGTCTAAACACGTTGAATGAGCAGAAGGGAATGTACACTCCACAATGGAACGTGAAAGCGAATAGCATCATATACGTGATAAGAGGAAGTGGAGGAGTACAAGTAGTGAACTGGGAAGGTAGATTAGTGTTTGATGGGGAACTACGAAGAGGGCAGTTACTAGTGGTGCCACAGAACTTTGCGGTGGCACATCAATCATGGGACGAGGGATTTGAGTTCATATGTTTTAGGACACATGAACGGGCAGTCATAACTCCAATTGTGGGCAAGCAATCCTTCTTTGAGGCAACCCCCGCCAAAGTACTTGCTACTATATACGGCCTTCACCTGCAACAGGCACGTCACGTCAAGCAATCCCGACAGGAGGGCTTCTTACTCAGCCCCGTTTCACCATCTCAATAACCTTTTATTCTTGAGGTGTAAACTAGCAGATGTGTGTGTGCGTGTCTGCCGCGTAATAAAGTTTTGGGCTTTTGGTTTGGCTGCCACATAATAACACGGAAGTAATTGCTACTTTACCACATGATTCATTACTCTGCATGGTTAAGCAGACTCCCGTTTATTTCCATTTAAATTTGGTTGTTACTGTACCCGGAACTCATCTAGCAAGGCAAGCACGTCTGCCAAAACAGTAAATTTCTTCACAGAAGGATAAAATGGCGCGCACACTTGAACGTTCAGTTACTACGCATAGGATGCTGTGAATCATCCATCTATGATTTGATTACTATCTGTTTTGTTCGTTTCAAAAGTAAAAAGGATTCACCCAATCACCATCTCTATGTAAGATCCTTGTGAGTTGTGATTATGATCATGTCTACTTATTCCCTGGCCAAGAGGCCAGCAATAACGTTACCAAGGGCACGTTTGATCATAACTCAGCATGCTTTGAATTTTAATGAACACCAGACTGCAGTTAGTTTCTATTAGTAGCTCCTGTCAGCATCTCAACTTCTTAGAATCAGATTCCAAAATCACTTTCTCGGGGCCCAAATTCATACCTTTCAAAATGCCCCATTCTTCAGCCTCAAAAGCACTACGTGCATTTTCCAATCTCTTGACGGAATCCAGCTGTCCTACTTCCATTAAAGTCTCCTGGGATAAAAACTTATCTTTCCATATAATTGTGTTTAATCAATTAAGCCGATTGCCCGGTCAATCCTTTATTTCCTTAGTTTGGAACTTTTTCTATCCCAAATTTGTAAAAATAAAGGGGGAAAGAAAAGAAAAAAAGCGCCGCCTATATCCCTTCAGGACAGTGTTGTCATGTTCAATGAAATGATAATTACATAGACAAATATTAATCACGCAAGCTCAATTTGAAGAAGGCCGGACACAGTATGAGTATTTTAATATCATTAGATCTAGACCTTTTATAATTTGAATGATCTAAATTTAAAATCTTTAAAATTATTTTCAAATAAAAAATTATTTTTTTGGAAAAAAATGATAGTCCAGAAATTATCTTTATTTTAGATTAGATATATTAAAATAATTATTTTGAACAAATAAAAATAAAAAGAAAACAAATCCAAACCATCCCAATAAAATATGAAGAGTTCAGATTTAACGAGTATATAATGCTTCACCAAAACTGGATCCGCTAGGCACTAGAAGTAGTAATTAATAGTCCGTTGAATTAAAACTCAGCTGCCTAGAACATTTCATGAGGCCATGGTAGAACACATGAACGCAAGCCGCTGCCACAGGGGATTTTATTCTTCACTACCTAAGCATCTAGCCGATTGAAAACAACACCACACAGGGCATATATGATACACATACATACATACATACATATATATATATATATTTAAAATCCAAGGGCCTAAACAAAAGCCTTTGTTTTCGAGGACTGAGAGGCTATGCTAAACAGAGAAGCCTGGTCCCTGCCGATTTTGAGCCTCTGGGCTTCCTTTATGCTGACTCTGAAAATGTTGGCAACGACATGCACAGGTAGAGCTCTAATGGCTGAGGATATCCCCACCAGCGGGCTAATCATCGCATCCTCTGCCGTCTTGAAAGCTATCCACTCGAACCCTCCTTCTCCAGTCGCCTGTATCACCACTACGAAATTCTGCGGAATCACCAGAACCTCTCCCTCTTCTATCTTCCCGTCAAACACGCTTCTTCCCTCGTTATCCACCACCTGAATTGTCCCTTTCCCACCCGTCACGTACAATATGGTGTTGGCGTTCAGATTCCAATGTGGCACATAAACACCATTCTGCATCCAAACAAAGTCCATATGCATTCATATTATTGTGAGATCCTGGTCAATACAAATGTGTGTGTGTGTGGGGACGTACTTCGTAAAGAACGCCTCTCTCGGCGCTGAGACGGAGGTCAGCGAGGATAGGGAGCTTGATGCTGTTGAGGGTGGCGATGCGACCAGCGTGTGGGGTGTATATATCGGCGCGTGCGGCGCTACCGACGTGTTCTCGAACCCTCAAGGTGCATATGGTCTCCTCAAGCCCATTGGCGCGTGGCCCTGGTTCCGGCCTCACCACTTCCAGGCCTTCCTTCACCAACACAATGTTCTTTCTGGTATCATCTGCACCTTTCATCTTTCTCACTGTCTCCACGCTCACACCGTATATTTCACTTAAAAGCTGTTCGTGAATTCTGCTGAATAAATTTCTTCCACTCTCCCCATCAGTTTCCTCCCCGTGTTCATCTTCTGGGTTGCCTGCAAGATAGAATCTCTACATGGACAAATCAAGTTAGAAATCTAATTATTATGGAATGGAATACAATAGACAAGGGTATACGCAAAGTTTGTTACTCTTGGTTTTCCGTCAAGTTGATTGTCCGCGTTACTAGTGTCCATGAGGATGACGACGACGAGTGGGGTGTTCCCGTTGTTGTAGAACCAGTAACCTATTCCAGCAGGTATGGCAATAATGTCGCCTTCTCCGATTTCATGCACTTTCTGATGTTTCTCTCTGTATCCTCCCTCAGATCCTTCAGGCTCCTCAAATGACTCAGGACAAGAAGGAAAGATGGTCATCCCTTGAATCCCACTTCCTATATATACACGAAGCACATGCATGGGTCAAAAGTGTATATATTCAAGTGACAGGTTTTAGCTTTCACCGCATATAGTACTTAGTTAATTGTACCTCGGACATAATATAGTAGTTGGGGAGCATTGGTGTAGGAAGGCAGGACGAGGCCTTTGGGCTGAACGGTGCGTCGAACGAGAGTAACACCAGCACAGCGAAGTATCTTGTCGCTATGGTTCCATGATTCAGTCACCCCACCTTCCGACTCGATACGATAAACGGGTTTAAGAGACTCAAGGCGATCGAGCTGGCACTCGCCCGCCTGGGGTCGCCGATCCATTCGCATTTTCTGACGATGTGCGACACTGTTACTGGCCAACATCAAGACGACGAAGCACACCAGTGAAATCGAGAGACCCAACGAAGGCGTGCCCATATTTTCCCCCTTCAATTTGTGTCTGTGCTTTTGGTCGTTTATGTTAAGTAGCAGTAAGTAGACAGTACTACACGGAAAGATCTTCATGTAAAGGAATTTATAGCAGAACAATTGAAACGGCGGGATAGACACGTAAGGATGGTAGGTAAGGAATGAGGAGACGTGCAGCTTGCATGGCGATCAAACCCTTCAAGAAATTACACCTATCAGATATGTTGGGGCAGGTGGCTTAACATTCAGAGGATGCTACGATGGCTGATCAATAATCCAGTGGCAATAATACAGTACCAGTTTCGATCAGGGAGCGTGCAGCTCATGATAGCATTTCTTTAATGAGTTTGTTGAATGTTGTGCCAACTACCGTCAGAATTGGAGCGAAAATATGTTGATGATGCTAACCGTTAACAGGCTTTTGTGACGAAATTAATTTAGTTGGGAATTATTAAGGAGATTATGATATCATGTTTGACATTTGAGCATGGTTTTTAAGCAGAATACGCACTAATATGAAAGTTGTTGGGGTAAAAAGCATGAAAACATTCTCTCTTAAAAACAGACACTGCACTTGAGGACGATCGAGCATGTGTCATTTAGTGTCATCAGTCTCGTACTTTTGAAAAGAGCTTCGTAACTTGGACTACTGTTTGGCATGATACGTACATTCGATTGCATCCATAACATGAGGGAGAAGATGTTTGCTCCCTCCCGCGGGTAATATAACAATTACTTCCCATTTTATAATTTGAATTACACTATAAAATACAACTATGTTTTATATTAAAATTTCGATGGAAGAAACAGTAGAAAGTTTACATATAAAAGGGTATACTTTCGGCTAAATGAATTGCTAAAGATATACTTTTTCGGTTCTTAATATAAGATTTATTTAACTAATTTGATTAGATTAAAAAAATTAGGTAAATTAGTTAATTATAAGAAATATGACATGTTTTTTTAAAACCCATAATCATCTTTCCTAATATCCTCCCCCCTCTTCTACTGATTATAGTTGAGGGAATATCCATAGGGGTAATTTTAAAAAAATTAATAAATATAATAAATATATCTTATATTTAATATCAAAATTAATTCAATAATTAGGTCTTATATTAAATATTGGGTAAAATTTTAGGGAGAAGCGTGAACAATGAAAGACATCAAGAATGCAAAAAAGCCTGATATTGTTATAGTGATCATATATGTCATGTTTCATCCACTATAACTGATAGAGAAGTATAAGCAACCGCCCTGCATTTGTGATGCTGTGACCAAAGAAAAACCCTGAGATTCCTTTCTTGTTTTCTTTATTTTACTTTATTTGTTAATTAATCAATAATTTTTTTTATATTTTTATCTCACTTCCGGTCCTTATCATTTTTCATTGAATCTTTATAGTTTTTTCAATCATAGGCACCCGTCCTAATGCTCATACCCAAGATACACAATAAAACGGAGTTTTTTTTTTTTGAAAAATCAATTGTATTTATTATCAACATAAAAATAAAAAAATACGTCTGTAATTTAATTAATTTTAATTTTATTTAGATCTGTGTGACAAAACTAATCCAAACATATGTTCAGTGAAAATAACATTATGAGCTACTAATGCTGCTTTTCTCAAAAATAAACAAATATAATTATGGGTACGAGGAAAAGTACCTATAATTGAAAAAAAATTATGAAGAGCCAATAAAAGAATTGAAAATAATTATATGAACATGGATATTATTATTAATTCCTAAAAAATAGTTAAGGTGTTTTTCGGTTTTAATTTTTTTATTTTAATCAAATGATATTTTTCAAGTAAGGCGGCTTCAATTAGGGTTTTTTTTCAGTTGGCCTGTGTCGCAATTAAGATGAGACCAGCCTTCATCATGGGAATAAGTCATATGGGCTTGGGCTGTGGGCTAATGCTTACAAGTAGGTTTGGGCTGTTCTCTTTTGATTGGCGAGATTTGCTGGGCTGGGAATGATGACATGAGCAACCCTAGACCGCGGGGGTCTGGCAACGGTGTCGCGAAGCTCGCTCTCTCTCTTGTTCGTTTTCTTTCTTCCTTCTGAAGAAGGCAAATTGCCTAGTGTTTTTTTTCAGGCTCGAAATTCTTCTGAAACGAAGTTGAAGATTTCATATTTAATGGCTAGTAGAAAGCTATTCCGCGACTTGTTATTGTCCAAGCGATCTCATTTCGTTCAATTAACGTATCAGCAGGTGCGTTCATTGTGTATCTTCTCTCAAAAATCTTTCATTCTCGTTGCGGTTTGAAATTTTGTAAGCTTTGGTCCTATCTTCAGTTTCCACTTAAAATTTTCACGTGTTGGAATCTGCTGTTATAGGCTTCAAGCGGGAGGCTGCGTTTGCTTTCACAGTGTTCAAGTCTTCGTAGATATAGTGTCTTCAATGAGTTCTCAAAAAAACTGAAAGGCGAAGCTGAAAGGTAATTTATCTCTCTTTACTGTATGTTCTAGACCATATAATCGGCTTTCCAGGATTCCTTGACAACAGAGGCCAAGGAGTGGCTGGCTGGTGGTTGAAGTTGGCTTCTTCTTCTTCTTCATCATCTTTTAATATCGGGTGAAAGTTTAGTTTAATTGACATAGGAGCGCTTGTTGTGTGTGTGTGTTGCCTATTTCAGCTTATAGCGCACACCTTGGCAACCTTTGTGAATGTGTCTGGCTTCCATTTCTTCGTCTAGTGATATCTTACTAGGTCTTCCTCTCTTACTTATGCGTGAGAAACTGGTTGCTGTATGTGTTTTTATGGTCGTAGTAATCCAGAGTTCCGGCAGTCGGTGAAGGAGCTCAAGGAGAAAGCGGAGGAGCTAAAAGGGGTAAAAGAAGGACTTAAATCTAGGTAAGTCTTGTATTGTGGTGCTCATAATATAATGGATAACTTCTAAATTATTGATTAGTAGGCTGAGACATACTGTTGTATGTCAAGGCTTGGTCGACACTTCAATGGAAGGCCTGAGATGCTGAAATGGAAAATGCAGAACGAAGCAGATAACTCAGCAGTTGTACAGACAGGTGGATGAAGCGTGGACAGAAGCAGAAGCTACTGCAAAGAAGGTACAGTTGAAGCTCATCGTTAATGTTGTTGTGTTCCAAATAAATGGATACGGAATGTTAACTAATTGTCAGAAGCTTATCGTCATTTATGCAGATGAGCTACATGTTCCATTTCCCTTTAATTCTTACTTGCTTCAATTGTTATTGGTCCTTGTGGTAGGGGAAGCCTTGTCTATTGGATAAGCTGATGTATTGAAATATGATTGCTAATTATACTTGTTGCAGGTTTCTAATAATGTGAAGGAGAAGATTTCAGCTGCAACTGAGGAGGTACTTTTTTGATTTTCTATTCGGTTTGTAATATGGTCTCATGGATTGACACTTGATGACTTGTTAATGTATAATACAGATAAAAGAAACTTCTAGGACTGGAAAGCAGGATTCTGCAGGATCAACAGGCTCGTCAGCTGAACATGATGCTGATGCGACACAACGAATTCAGTCTCCATCTGGGGAAGAGAATCAGCAAGCTGGATCTAGTAATGCTGCAGAATCTTTGTTTGGCAAGTTCAAGTCAACCATCTCATCCCCAAATGTTTCGTCAGCCTTCCAAAAATTGAAGGAAGCAAAGTTAGTCAATGTAGCCAAGAAAGGATATGAAATAGTAAAAGAGGAGTTGAGTGATAGTCCAAATAGGAGAAGGCCTGTTCCCTCCACGCCAAGCGGTGAAACAAGTGAAAGAACTGAACTTGTCATTATGCCCTCAAAACAATCTTGGTGGGGTAAGAAATTGGATGCATTCAAAGACAAGGTAACTTAACCAGTGGTTCTTCATTAAATCGTTGGTCTTGAAACTTCCTCCATTGAGAATCTTTTAAAATTTTGCTTTTAGGTGAAAGACCTTCCTATATCCAAGCAATTCATCAGATATAGTGATCCTGTCAAGACAAAAGGCCAGGAGGTGTGTTTTGCTCTTAACTCTTCTACCAAAAAGTTGCTGTTTTTTCTGTTCCATTCAAAGTTATCCATCTGAAGCATGCGCTATTTGTATTCATAATGTACTGGTTTCTGAGATGATGGTTTTGGAATGATAAGAAAAAGTTATTGTTTTTGACGGCTTCAAGACTGTCTTTTATACCCGTATTTCTGTATTTGGAACTGACAGATTGTAGAAGACTTGAGAGAAAGATATGAGACAAGTGACAACCCAGTTATCCATAAAATACAAGAGTAAGCTTCTGAATTTCTCTTCGCACTCCTTTTTGTGCTTAGAATTTGAGTGACTGGATAAGATCTAAATAGCATCAAAGTGTAAAGTTGGACCAGTTATAATTTACATAGTAAATTAGTAATGTATGATGTGAGGTTTTAGTGCTAATTTGCTATGATTCTTTTGTAGTATGAATGATAGCATGTTTCAGGAGACAGATGCTGCAATATCGTACAAGGAAATACGTCAACGGGATCCGTATGGTCTTGTGCCTTTTGCGTAATTATAAAAAAGTTATCTTCTATTGTTACTCTAGCTCTTAACGTCTTTGTCATTTATTGTGATTGCATGAATTAGTGATTTCTCATTACCAGAATTTGTGGGAGAAGTTCAGGAAGCTATAAAACCAGTTCTTAATGCTTATATTAAGGTTAGTATTAAGTTTTCCCTGGAGTGCTGGAAATTTCTTCTCTTTTGTGCGCTTACCTATCAAGATTATTTTTTAAGTAACATTACCCAGTCCTCTGCAATCATTTTTTTCCTTTTTGGGCTGTAAATGATTGTGTAGGGTGATGTTGAAACTTTGAAGAAGTATTGTAGCCCTGAGCTGATTGAACGTTGTAAAGCAGAGCACCAAGCTTACCGAAGCCATGGTATTTTCTTTGATAACAAGGTGAGCTTGCATTTATCTATTCTCTATCATCGTTGCCATTAAGTTTGTTTCATTATATGAGGCCTAAGGTTAATATTGCATTGAGTAAGATTGACTTTAACTTTATAAAGTAGATTTGATAGATGAATAGAAAGTGAACTGATATTATGTCTTCTTGGTATGGGCTATTGTACATCGTGGTCAACCAAATATATCATGAGGAATATAGCTTTAGCCACAAGAATGCTATGAAGTGATTACTTGCATGGCACTTTTAATTGAGGGCAATTAGGACGCACGTTAGCAGAAATCAATCGCTTTTTTGTGTTTTTGGTTGGTTATCTTTCAGTGAGCTTCTTGTTGACATTGACGATTAAGAGATGGTTGGGAGAAGCAGACTTTTACAAGTACCATTATGGTTAAGATTATTGTACAAGCAACTTTTTATCCCAGTTAACTTTTGGAAATTGAAGTTAGAGTTCAATTCAATCAGTGTAAATGATTTATGTTTAGAGAAGCTTTTATATAAAAGTCAGTTTGATAGAAATTTGTTTGAATAAATATTGAAATATCAGTTTAGAAGGATTCAACAGTGAAGGGGGAAAAAAAAGAAAAAGAAAAAGAAAAAGAGCTTCAACTTTAAAGTAGCTTCTATGCAAAAAGTCAATTGTCACCAAAGCCAAGCCAAACATCATTTTTTCATCCGACTAGCTTTTTTCTTTTTCTTTTTTGGGTCTCAATTGACTCGTGAGGCTTCCTAACGCTATCCCAAATATGCATTGAATCTTCTTACATTATCTTTGTATCTTATCTCATATTTTCTAATTATTTTTACTATTCCATCTATTCTAAATTCAGTTTTTATTATGCAAATAACATATATATTCAGATTCACTGGTATTTCGTCCAAAATGACTTGGATTATACTTAGAAGTCATGGAAGACGCCCAACATTTTTACTTGGAATATGAAGTCACGCGTCTTTATAGATATAATCGAAGTTGCATTTAGTGTTTCTGTTGTTTCATGGATACATAATTCTAGTAAGGCTTTACTGAGGTGCATCTCCCATCTAAAGTTGCGTTAACATTTGACTCTTGATACAGATTCTGCATGTATCAGATGTTGAAGTTAGAGAGACCAAGATGATGGGGTCCTCCCCCTTAATCATTGTAATGGTATGAAAATTATTACCTCTAGAACTTTTTTGCTAATTCCCAAGATTTATTCTCATGTGGAAATAAAAAGCTTGTTCTTTATAGCTTAATAACGGAGATCCTGTTAATGATTTTCAGTTTCAAACGCAACAAATCTATTGTGTACGTGATAGGAATGGGTCTATTACTGAAGGAGGCAAGGTGAAGTATTCTTGCTTCTTTTTTCTTTTGGGATATTTTTTATAATTTGATGTGCAAATATATTGGCTTCTCTACCAAAATAAGAAAGAGAGAGAGAAACGAAACAGAATCAGCAAAACTCATTTCTTTAATCGTCTTTGGTGATGCAACATATGCTTTTTTGTGAGGTAAAATTTCATGGCCTGATAAAATCATGCCCATACAGGCATTTCCTCGTAGGAAATTACATCAATATGGAGTTCTCAGTTCTGATTGATCGAAATAGTATCATGAATGCTCATATTGAATCAATATGCAATAAGTCTTGATTCTTGACAGAGTAGGTAACTAAATACTACATCTGGTCCTTAATATGGGAGCTACTTAACTAATTTGAGTAGATTAAAGAAATTAGTTATTTGACACAAATATAAGTGGATTTTCTTAAGTCCAAATTAAATCTCAACTAACTCTTATATTAAAAACTGAAATTAGTAATATCCTTGGACATTGTCTTAGGTATGCTTATAGGATATGCTCAAAACTGCGAAACAATGAAGGTTGATAAGACTGCTACTAGAGATGCCTGCCTGCCTGCCTGCCTGCCTTTGGGCGGTATATTAACTAGGGATGAGTATGGGTGTAAAAATAGCTGATTAATGGAGTGAGTGAAGAAGCCTTGCTTCTCAAGTGTTTATTTAATTTAAACTCATGACGTTTATTCCCTTTACCAGGATACGATCCACACCGTTTTCTATGCTTGGGCCTTGCAACAAATGGAGCCGGAGGATCGCGGAGAGGATGCAATTTACCTCATGTGGAGACTAAGAGAAATGCAACAGCAAGGCATCCAAGCCCTTATATAGTTATTCATCTTCTAACCCACTGAGAATGTTGTATAATTAAGCCTTTATTCCCAATCCTAGCTTTTTAACATTCGATTTTTTGTCATCCAAATTTTGTGGCGGCCATTGATGACTAGCGTAGTTTTTTTTTTTTAAAAAAAAAATAACACAACCAAAAGAAATTGTGTACGCGATGAGTTCAATAATGCTCAGTTAGATGAGCGTAATGCTTTGTCGGCTGTATGTGTGCTGGTTTATCTGGTATCCACTGGCGTATCTCGGGTACTCAATGAAGGGACTACCATTTAGGGAGTGTTTAGATGAAACCAAATTATGGTTTGGAGGATAGTTTCTGAAAAATAGATTCTTGGAAAAATAGCTTTTGTGAAGAATATATTTTGTGAAAAATTGATTTCGAGAAGTGAAAGTGTTTGGATAATTATTATTAAAAACACTTTATATGTACAAATTATTAAAAAAGACACAAGTTAATATGATAATTACATAAAAAATAAATTTTATAATATATTTTAATTTGAAGGAATAAAGTTATTAATAATATATTTTTTACTAACATAATTAATAATATATAAAATAATATAAATAATTAATATGTATATATATTTATAAAATATAAGATTAAATATGTTTATAAAAAAATAATTGAGGAGTGTTAAAAGTCATATTATCGTTAAAATCTACTCTGACAGGCACAATTATACTCTCTAATTTAAACCAGAAGCAGAATGGATTTACTTTTCCTGAAATCATGGTTTTGAGTCCAAAACCATGGTTTTAGCTTGATACTGCAGTTTGTAATTTTCCTCCCCGTTTGGCAAATTTGAGACTCAAACCATCGTTTGGTATCAACCATGGTTTCATCCTATTGCTAAACACCCCCTAATAGCATGCCAAATGATCTTCCACGCAGAAGCTGGGTAGCCAGGAAATTCTTTTATGCTTGTGCCTCAATAAATAAATAATTTAATAAAAGAAAAAAAGTTGTTGTACGCTCTAACGCATACGGTTTCATATTCAGGAGGTGTTTGGATGAAACCAAACCATGATTTGGAGAATGGCTTGTGAAGAATAGATTCTAGAAAAAATAGATTTTGTGAAGAATAGATTTTGTGAAAAAATGATTTTGAGAAGTGAGAGTGTTTGGATAGTTGTTATCAGAAGCACTTTTTATATGTACAAATTATTAAAAAAAAAAAGCATAAGTTAATATGATAATTACATAAAACATAGATTGTATGATATATTTTAATTTGAAGGAATAAAATTGTTAATAATATATTTTTTACCAACATAATTAATAATACATAAGATAATGTAATTAATAAATAATTAATGTGTATATTTATTCATAAAATATAAGATTAAATATGTTTATAAAAAATTAATTAAGGGGTATTAAACTCATTATTATTGAGATTTACTCTAATAGATACAATCATACTCTCCAATTTGAGTCAGAAGCAGAATGAATTCACTTCTCCCGAAACCATGATTTTGGGTTCCAAAACCATGGTTTTGACCCAAATCATGGTTTCAGATAATTTGTGCCTGTTTGGGTGATTTTTTTCCTCAATCATAGTTTGGCTCTCCAAACCATGGTTTGGCTTGCTATCCAAACAGGCCCTCAGTATGACTTAAATGAACAATCTGATAAAGTATGCCAACGATTGTCTTGTTTAACTCCCAGCGGCAATGAAATGACTTGAAGTTGTATTGCGAAGTGTGACCTTTTTTGCTTTAAAAACAAAAACAAAGAAGAGAACCATGTATTAACAGTTTGAGATTATAAGTAGATTGAATCTGCGAATTTAAGCTGGCTTTTATGCCATTAGATCATTGGTAACTGTGTCTCCTTTAGTTGCTGCTTGCTTCATGCAACAAAAACTGCTGGGTTTTCAATGTGTTTGGTTCAGTGGGTAGTAAATACAAGACATACAGGATCATATATCACTCTGGGAACTCGCAGGCCCTACATTTTTAAAATTTGAAAGTAGAGACCACCAAAAAAATTGCTAAAGTTAAACACCTAGTCTAGAGTTGTGAACGCCACCCATCCCCCAGCTGCTTTAGGACCAAGCATTTCGTCCAACAAGATAATTCTGTTCTATCCTTTGCTTACTTCATCCACAATATTTATGGGACATCCTTGAAAGGGAACGCGAGAATACCACGGATTTCTGTTCAGTATTCGTCAGAAAAGCAATAACTATTCTTTGTGTATGGTGTATAATGTATGATCGTAATTTTTACGCAATTAAAGAATATCTCAAGTTGGATATTTGGCAAAGCAGAATCACGACCGACCAAGAAGAAAACAAAGACAAATTAGACAAGCACCAAAGAAAAAACTGACCCAACTAGCAATTAAATAACAGGAAAATCGTTAAGTGTCAAGATTATACTTGAAATTTTACAATGAAGTCTTAAGTAAAGAACATAATTACTAAAAAGTCTAATGACGAGCAGTTGTCATTTATTATTTTAAAGTTTGTCATTAGGCTACTATGTTGTCATTAGGACTTTTTCATAATTATATTCTTTATTTGAGACTCATTACAATTTTTCTTAAAATTTAAGCCACTCCATTGCTGCTTGACTATTGTAGCAACCTTTTAGGTTCAGTTTCCACCCATAGCGTAAGAACCAAGCTAAACCATGCAAATGAGAATACTCCAATGGAAAAGGAATCATCCAATATCTTTGTTATAAAGGAACGTAGTAACGGCTTTATATTGATACGAGTGCAACTTAGTTGATCCTCTGCGAAGCCTTGCTCTGCTTCTCTTCCATGTCGTTCCCAAGTCTAAAGCTTCCTCCTGCCCGTAAGGTATGGAAGAGTTTCACTTCTACAATTGCAAAACTTCGCAAGATTAACAAATCCAGAGCCATAAAAAAACCCAGAAAGCATACGAAGAGGAGTACCCTTGCTTCATCTACCAAAAGGCCCTGTAAGTTGTCCTCTAGGCGTCTCAGCCAGAAAAAATTACGAGGATTCAGAAGCGTTTTCTATGGGTTTGGCAAGAAACCTACGCCTGTTTATATTGATAAGCTCTTCAAAGAGCCTAGCTGTGATATAGTGAAGCATGTGAAGCCAGATATGGCAGAGAACCCACGAAAACGAAAGGCTTCAAAGCTTGGGGATGATACAGGTGAAGAAGCAGGAACAAGCAATCAAGGTGGTAGATTTGATAGAGATAGAAACAACAAAGCCTGCACGTCAGATGATATGTGGGAGTCTGTGGCGTTAGCGTCACCTCTAATGGAGGGAATAAATGAACGGGCAGAAGAGTTCATAGCCAGGTTCAAGAAGGAGATGATGGCTCAAGAGTTATTAGCCAGAAATTTATAGTACTTCGTGTTGGGCAGTGTTTCTCATGCTTCTGTTTGAATTAGCCATAGAGATGATTTTGGTGAAATTTATAAATTTAGTTAAGAGATCTTGATTAATGTGCATAGATAAACGAACTAACTGTATGATTTGTTTCGTTTGTGTAGAGTCTTGTATGCCGACTCTCTAAGGACTTTGTTTTTTATATTTCATGTTGAGATGTTCCTGAAACTGCATAGAAGAGAAGTCGAGGTATCGAGTGCGAGGTGGAAGCGGATGATTTGCTTGCCAGACGGTTCCTCTAATCCCACTCCCATTCGCTCATGGGCCAACGCTGACTTGTGCAAGTGGTAGGCGCAAGAGACACACATGCATTGAAGCACTAAACGGGGGGCTAAGGCCCAGAGTAAAACAGGCAGCTAGCCAGTATAGTTTGCCGACCCCTTGCCTTTTAAATACCGAAAGAGCGTTAATTTCTAGAAATGATTTTAACTTTCTAAAGAAAAAAAATATACGATACAAGAACCTGCATGTTTTTCAAACACAAAAGGAGGTACCAACGGTCTTATCTGTGCTTATTTTTCAGGATTGTAACTTGTCTTGCAGAGCAAAATTATTGTCGATTTTAGCATCAATTTGAGCTTGGGCTCCATCAAACACATTGCTGAAACCGAATTAAACAAGAAAAATCATGTCCAAATCAGTTTTCCAATATCTCAATACTAGATAATATTTTCCCCTCCAGTTTCTACAATATGCTACAAGATTAATTCACTGTTAACGATTAAGTTGCCTTAATTTTGATCTAATAAGTTGTAATACAGAGCCACAGGCCAAAGAAACTACAAACATAACAGGTTTAGGACTTTAACACCCACTCTATCTCTACGGAACAAGTCCCCCCTTAGACTAGAGGTGCCTCCCCCATCTGTACGAGGCAATCCATTCTCCCGAATTCTGGCATCAAGAGCTCGTAATAATTGATAATAGGCTGCACAGTTTTATTCCCTCTATGAAGTTTAGTGCATAAAGCTTTTCATTGGATCGTCATGGTGGATTTTCTTCATCCTATATGCCTCCATGTCCTCGGCAGTGACCTGCAGTGAATAGAGATGGTTAGAAAAATCCGTGAGGCCAACAAACTTTTCAATCAGTGGCTTCAAAATCCATACCTCATCATTCCATCTAACATTATATTTACGCTTCCTCTCGTCCTTCTCCTCTCTCTTTCTCTGATCCTCCTGCATTAAACCAATGGGATGCTCTAATCAGCACAGCTTACTCAGAGGATATATCCATTTGAGAAGATTAGCTATACCAAAAAAATTATTACGCGAGTGGAAACCTATAATCTAAAGCTCAAAAACGTCATGATTTAAGAACTTATATTCATCGCTTCTCTCAGTTTTTTTTAACCTTAATAAATGCAAAAATAATCAGCAACAAAGCTACCAATAATTTTTTCATCCAAAAGAAAAGTTACTCTTAATAACTCAACTGTAGGCAGAACAAGAGACAAAAGGAATAAAGTGAACAAATTTAACACGAGAGCAATATTTTGGTCAAAAAACACAAGCTATATATATATATATTGGGGGGGGGGGGGAGGCAGAGAGAGAGAGAGAGAGACTGACCTTTTTGAGTGCTTCAGCAAGCATTTTCTCATCCAAAACAAGGTCATCAGGAACATCAGTTCCCCACGTTGCAAGATTTTTCTCCTCCACAGGCTTATGATCCTCTGAGCAAGGTTCACAGAAGAAGATTTTGATTACCAGAAAGCAAGCGACATATGATACAGCACGATCATGAAAAAGATTTTAAAAAAAATAATAATAATAAAGAAAAAGGAAGGGGGAAGAGGACAATAGAGACAAGTATTGTCAGTTAGTAAAATACCTTCAGCAGCCTCTTTACGAGCAATATTAGCTTTCATGAGATCACTAGAAGCCTCGGCAGCCTCAATACCAGCAGCTCCTGTGCAATAGCTATTTCTTATTGTCTGTTTGCAGCACTTATAGCCCCATTGGTGATCCTTCCACCAAGATCCCCAAACAGTAGTGTGATTGTTAATGTAAATATCTTCTTCATACTTGCTCTTAGGAAGTGCTGCCTCCTGTCAAAAGTACAGGATAAACAACTAAATCCATCATCTTATCAAGGACAATAAAGCACAACCAAAAATTGTTCCCCCTAAATTTCAGACTACAATCAAGCAGCGCTGTTAACAGACTAAGGTAAATGGTCAATTTAAACCATTGACAAGCATATTATGTCAACTACAATTACAAAAGTAAAATGCAATACAGTAATTAGAAACAGAATGTAGCAACTTTGGGTGAAAATCTCACCTGCCCCTTTATAATTCTACCAGCACGGTCATACTCAACTTGCCTCTCACTTTGACCCAAAAGAAGTTCTCTCGGAAGTTCGTCCTCAGCAGATGCATTGCCATACTTCTCCAAAATAGTGTCCTTTGTTTGAGACTTCAATTTCTCCTTCATTATCTTAAAATTCTTATAAAGTAACTCAGCTTGGGATGGAGCTGCTTGCATGTGAACATCTTGCCCTTTATCAAATGCTTCCCAAGCATGGATGTTTAGTTCCTTGAATTCCAAAGCTTGTCCACTATTTCTATATTGGTTGTCACCCTGCAACAGGACAGCAGATATAGTTTACTTACAAGTTCAATGGATATATAGCATTCTAGCTATGATACAAGAGTTTCCATAAATTTTAATTCTCAAGGAAAATCTACCTCATAGAACTTCTCATTCGGATCTGCATCTGGAAGAGGATCCTCACGCATGGACCGTGTTTTAGGATCATAGTGTGCAGAATTGACATCAAGATTAAGAAGATACTTTGCAGTATCCTCACGAATACGCAGGTTCCTAAAAGGAAAAGATACTCAGTTCCTTTGCTTTTTTGTCTATTTAAAAAAATTGATATCTAGCTCAAATTAATTTTATGATAAATGATGAAACTGGGAAAATAATGGTCATCAAGTATGCAGGACCAATCCAGTGGCCCCTAATCATAAAGAGGACTGTAATAGCAATAATACCTCACAGTTCCTGTACTTCCACCACCTGTTGTACGCACACGTTTCTCAACCTTCGCAAAGTCCATTTGTTTGCTCTCATCCACCTTAGCCTCATCTACCCTTAGATCATCTTCCTCTTCATCTTCATCACTGACAGCATCCTCACCATTTTCGTTGCTTTTCTCCAATTTCTTCAGTTGTTGCTCTTTTAAGTATTTCTTTCTAGCTTCATCTCTAGCTTCATATCTCTCAATCACTCTAGCATAAGTTGATGCATCATACCCATTCCATCGGTCCCGTTTACCATCATAGTCAAGCTCAAAAGTTTCAATTTTCTCATCAGGAGCGATGTGTTTGTTTGTCCACTTTGCTCCTATCTTACGTGGTCTTTCCATGCACGTCTTGGTGGTGTGGGTCATAGCTCCACAGCTGAAACAATTACGCGCACACATATATATATATCAACTTACTTAAGTTTGCATAGAAGAAAGAAAATATAAACGGTGGAATAGTCAGGGACATGCATACAAAAGATCCCACAAAACCTTTGGCATTATCCTCAGGAGAGATCAAAGACATTCATAATCTCCCCCAAAAATAGTTTACGCTCCCAAAAAAAAAAAAAAGAGAGAGGAGACCTGAGACTTATTTTACATTCCAAGAGATCACTCATCAAGTATGTACCTGCAATAGACACAAGCATGAGAGAGGGAACTTACTTCTCACATGCGCCCTTCCTATACTTTTCTGCCTGAAAAGTTTTAGCACCCCTATCATACCATGATTTTGTGTAATTGGGATCTGACTTCCACTTCCTTTGATGTTTTAAACTCTACAAAAGTTATAAAAAAAATCGGTTTTCAGAGGTCAAATATCATTAGACAAGCTATGCACATCTCAAAAGAAGAAAAAACTGTGACTTACAGGTCTCTCAGCGTTAAGATACCAGGGTGCTGAGGACATATACTGGGGAATGTGAGGGTTGATTTCTTTTCCATCTTCATCAACCTCTGCAGGTGCAAGCCCAGCTTTACGTGCTTCTTCCAACTCAATTTGTTTTCGATGGTCCTCCCTAGATTTAAAAGCAACTGCAATTCCCAACACGTGTTGCACACAATAAGGCGATTCAGTCAGAAGAATTTGGGGGGAAACGATATTAGAAAGGAAAATTCTATGATCAGGAGCTACATATTACGGAGGACAATCAAATAAACAGTCATTTAACAGTGCCCAAATTTTCAAATGGATGAGACGAGAGACAAAGTTCGTTCACAAATAATCCGCCCATCAATTATATATTTTTTCCTTATAGGTTTTCACTTCCGTTTGCACAGCCAGCATTTCTTTTATAGTTATTTTTTACATAGATCGAGAGCACTAGAATTTATAGAGAGTATCGTTCACCACACATGTAAAGAGTTCGCTCTAGACGCATGAAACAACAGAAAATTCTATTGCAGGAAAAGTGTGGACTTAAAACGGACAAATTAAATAATCCGATTTCGGTATTTTGAAACCCTAAATAGTCCGACAAGATCAAAAGCTAGAACAAGTACCTGAGGCAGTTGCCATGGCTTTGCCCCAAACGAGACCTAGAAATATCAGTCGCAGGGATACGTGAAGGCAAGGCCGAGGGTCGAATCCGAAAATCAAAGATGACCAGCAAAATCAGAGAACCCAAGAGTTTTTATGATCGGCAGTTTCGGATGACGTGCTTGAGTTAAGAAACCTTTTCTATCCAAAGTCCACAGAATTACGATGAGCGGTTCTCTCCGGGGCACAAATAGGGCGGTGCGAGTTGTCGATCTTCCCTCTGTTTTCGACTTATGCGCTTTCGTATTTTATGTATTTTTATATGTTTATTTTGGCAAAAATAATATATTTACTCATCGATATTAATAATGACAGAAAATCTAGTACTCCTCCGGTCCTAATTATAAGACCCAATTGACTTATTTGAAGAGATTAAGGAAGTAAGTTAAGTTGATTATTTATAATAAATAAGTGTTTTTATTCCTAAAATATCCTTGCTAATTAAGTATATTGGCTAAAACTATCATTATTAGAAGGATTATCTTTGAAAAAAATGTATAAATATAAGAGATAAAATGGATTGGGTCTTATAATTAGGACCAAATAAAAAGTCAAATTGGGTCTTATAATAAGGACCGGAGGAGTATAATTTTTTTAGATAGATCTCTCTATCTATTAGATATAGCCCAACTCCTTATCCGGCCAAAAAGAAACCCCTGCTTAATGATAATAACAGCAATAACCAAAATTATCTTGTGTGTCATACTGATTGTCAAAAATTTATTTTGAAAAGTCTTAATTTATGGTTTTCCGCTCTTAAATTTTAAGCGACACTAATTTGTTTCTAAAAAGCAACATTTATGATATTTGTATTTTACATGCTATATTTATCGAAGTAAAAAAATATTACATGATAAAATAAATGTACACATGGAGTTCTATAAGGAGCCCCTACATTACTGATGAGCACGGAATCCCTCTTTTTGGTGCTGCAGATGAGCATGGAATCCAACTATAGCCTGTAAACACGTAGCTTATGTTTAGCACGGGGTATTTAAAATAAAAGATAAAGATTGGGATTAGGGTTGAAAACACGTGTTAAAAAAAAGTTTAGTATGAGTAATTTCTTATCACATGGGATTAGGCAATCCCATACAGATAGAATTGAAGAATACCACCCCCCTCATAGTATTTTCAAATCCCATATATATGGGTTTGTCTAATCCCAAGTATCATATAATTACTCATACGAAATACCCTTTTAATGTAGTTTTACATTTTCAATCTCAATCCCTATCTCTTGTTTTTAATAAACGGGACCGTAGGGCTCAGTTGAGACATAGCCGTTGGGGTCAAGTTGTGGCAGCCACACAAAAATAGCCGCGTGACAGCAAGATGCAAGTGGATTCATCTCTCTGTTTTTTTCCTTCCTTCCTTTATTTTTTTTAAGTATGAGTATCTTTCTATTGAAGTCAATCCTATTTGAAATACTATTGAATACTAAATGTTAGGCACTTCTCCCGCTGAATTTGAGTTTTGATTTGTCATGTTGGGAGGAATAGTCCTTTCCTCTATTTTTTTTTTTTCTGGCCACACATAGGTGACTTCCTATTAAAGGCAATTCCACTTGAGACATGGTCGGGGGCTAAATGTGAGCACCTCCTCCAATATAAACAGGAACATTGGTTTATCACATTACGAATAACCAGTTTCTTTTATTAGACTTAACTTTGCTAGTTAATCTTTTTCTCTTTTCTTTTTAATGGACGTTGACACTGATGTTAAGACCCAGCCCATTCAAAAACACGCAAACATGATGGTTTTGGGCCCAAAGACCTTGAAAACTGACATCGAGGTTAAGATCTAGCCCATTAGAAAAACGCAAACATGACGGTTTTGGGCGCTGAGGCCCATTATAGTTATTTAAATTTGGGGCTGGTTTTGTAAGCCCAAGAATGACCCAGGCCTTCGATAGACTGATAATTCAGACGAGCGCCCTCTCGCACGATTGACCGTGGGGGGAAATTAAAAATTACTGTACATTCACGAGTAATAAGCCTTAGAACAAATAAGTAGCATGTCAATGACAAAATTCAGTGTAAAAAACAATAACGGATCATAATATATTCACAGTTTAAAGAGCTTTTTATTGGTTAGATTACTTATATGATTGTAAAGTCATTTTTTCAAAAGAAAAGAAACGGAACTATCAAAGTGCCTAGTAAGAGGATAAAAGAATGAAAAAGAAAGAAGAAAAGGAAATAATTTGCATAGGTACAAAACTTGTGGTAAATGAAGTTGTGGCGAGTGATTGTTGGGTAGGTAAGGTGCTGAAAAGCTCCAGATCCTAGCGTGACTAAATCCCCCAACAATGGTGTTGCTTTCCGTATTCGAAGACATTCCCAAAATATAACGTGTCCGGCTCCGACACAAAATCCAAAGGCGGTCAATGAGTTAGGGGCCGCCCCCCTCATCCCAATCCACTGTCCATTTCCAATTTGTATCCTATCCTGTCTTGTCCATTGTCACCACCGACAATCATCTCTCTCAACTGCATATATACTCTTTTGTCGATAACGTCAAACTCGTCATATTAACCATGTTTGAGGTTGTTTAATTACTCCATCTTAGGTAATAGACGCGAGGCTTTCTTTTCCCCTCTGATAGATAAATATCTCTCGCTAAGACATACTACCTCCGGTCCTTATTATAAAATCCTGTTTGACTTTTTATTTGGTCCTAATTATAAGACCTCAATCCATTTTGTCTCTCATATTTATGCATTTTTTTCCAAGATAATCCTTCTAATAATGATAGTTCTAGCTAATATACTTAATTAGCAAAGATATTTTAGGAATGACAACACTTATTTATTACAAATAACTAACTTAACTTACTTCCTTAATCTCCTCAAATAAGTCAACTGGGTCTTATAATTAGGACCGGAGGTAGTAAAAGAAATCACGTTTGTCCTCTCAAATTATTGTACTACCTCCGGTTCTTAATATAAGACCCCGTTTGACTTTTATTTTGGTCTTAGATATAAGACCTCAATTCATTTTGTCTCTCATATTTACTCAATTTTTTTCAAATTAGTCCTTCTAACAATTATAGTTCTAGTCAATACACTTGATTAGTAAGGATATTTTAAGAAAGACAACACTTATTTAGGACAAATAACTAACTTAATTTACTTTCTTAATCTCCTCAAATTAGTCAACTGGCTCTTATAATTAAGAACGGAGGAAGTATGTGTGAGTTAGGAAGAAAATCTCAACCTGCTACCTAATCCAACCCCTTCATTTTGAAATCATCCATCTTTTCACAGCCTTAAAAATAGCATCACCTCTAAAGTAATCTTATACTCTATCCTATGTTTAATGCCGCAATCAATGCTCCCATTTATGTACATTAATCAAATTTGAAAACATAGTTGATAGCAAGCCATTTAAACTCGGAATCAGTTTAGGTGCTCATTACCCATAAACTCGGGTTAATTAATTTGCTTTGCAATAATAATACCACCTCCGATTCTAATTATAAGATCTCATTTATAGTGTACAAACGAGGTTTGAGATAATATAATATAACATCGAGCTGGAGACAAGTCTGGGGAACAAAAGATATACATTTGAACGTCGATCGGTACATATTATATATAAATGCTGATGTAACAAATCAACGATAAATTTTCTTGAATGAATAATGAACAAAGTTAAAGTTAAAGGGCACAACTTCATAACTGTGGCAGCTCCGTGAATTCCTCGGCTCTATTGTAAACATCAAACCAAAAATCCATCTCATCCCCCGTGCATAATGAACTGACATGATCTCCTTCTACTTGTGCATCGTCCAGCTGAGACAAAAGCAACTGAAACTGTGAGTACTCCACCCCACCGCCTTCCGCCGGAATATAATCAGTAGTCTCCTCAGAGTTATCAGCCGACAGGACTTCCGACCAGAAATCATCGTCCAATGCCAGGGACTCCTCCGGCGCCGGAGACTCAACATTAATATTTACGGACATGTCGTCGTCGTTATTGACGTTAGTCGCAGGACTACTAGTCGTAATACTGTTATCGTTGTTTGTGGTGAGGGTGGACACATCACTTGAATGAGAAGGAGAGAGTGGTCTGTTTTCCGTCACGGCATGTTGTTCCTTTTGCTTTGGTTTTCGTTTTGTTTGGGGATGGTTCTGTTGGTTCTGAGGAAGCCTCTTCTTCAAGTGTGTGTGCCAAACATTCTTGATTTCGTTGTCTGTGCGGCCTGGCAACTTCGCTGCTATTGCTGACCATCTGCAATATGATTAAACATCACATTAGTATAATTTGGTAGGAAGTTAATTATGTGACTCATCAGTTACTATATGTATACTATTAAATTTGGTTGATGTTAAAATACTGTTTATGATTATGCACTAACCAGACATGGACCAACCACTCATTTCTCATAGGCTGGCCGACACTAATTTGCTTTCGAGGATTTGGGGGATTTGTTTCAAAATAGAAAATAGTATTATTATTTAAACACGTGAAAGTGTTGCAGCCCAGTGAGGAATCTTTTGCAGACCTAGCATGTCCATCTGATATAATTATGAATCTTAATAATTCGTTTGAAAGAAATAAACAACAGTACTGTGGTTGGGCCCAACCTGTTATCACCCGTAAAAGAAAAAATCGCCGAACTTGTTAAATATTTATTTTCCGACTCAGAGGCTGCCAAGAAAGAAGTGATTTTGCATGCTCTCAATCAATTGGATGAATAAAGCGGTTATTCATCAATGTCATACTTGCTAGCAGTTGCAAGAGAACTTACTTGTTTCCCAACATTTCATGAAGCTTGATGATGGCATCCTCTTCTTCTGGGGTGAAGTTTCCTCGTTTGATGTCTGGCTTCAAATAATTTATCCACCGGAGTCTGCAACTTTTTCCACACCTCAGAAGCCCTGGAGTACACAAAAGAGAAAATTAAGATTCATATATAAGCAAAAGACGCGGAAAGGATCATTGAAGTTGGAAATAAGAATGAAGGATCATATAAAAATAGATACCAGCTAATTTGGGGAGAGCACGCCAATTGCTGTGGCCATATTTGTTGACATGATTGATCAGGATCTGATCTTCTTCCGGAGTCCAAGGGCCTCTCTTCAACCCCACTTTCTGGCAGCAAGGAGCTCTTCCCATTTTCTCCTCTTTGTTCTTCTCTTCCTTTCTTTCTTTCTTGCTATGTCTAATTTGTATACAGCGTCGTCGCTCTGGCATATATCTGGTCTTTCTATATCCACTTACACACACGCGTATATATATAGATAGGCCAACCACTCAGAGCTCAGAAAAGTCCAAGGGAAGTTCATTTCTGAATGGGAAAGAGGGATATACCACACTTGCATTATCAGTTGGACCGTTTCTCTCCTTCTCGGAAGCCTCTCTCTCTCTCTCTCTCTCTCTCTCTCTCTACCCCAAGTGCTCCTTTATTTAATTATATAACATTGTCTGATTGATTATATTATTTTAGTCAAAGAAAACGTGGCACTTTAATTGGCTCTCTCAATATTATACCTACAATTCAGATGCATGCACTTTATTTTCTTGCTTTCTCACTGTATTGGCAGATCAAATTGGCAATCACTTACTCTGACTGTCTTCAATCCTGATTACATACAACGTCATTATTATTTATTGCTATACTGAGAACGAACACCTGTATACAAATCATCTTCAATTCTTCTTCTCATACGAAAACTAAACTCAATCAACTTTGCCCTTTGAAAATGACATCCACCGTAGTAAATTCTGCATGTTTCAAAAAAGGCGGTTGTTTTTATGAATCTTTCAGGCCAAAATAAATAAATATAGCTCTCGGTCTTAAATATAGGATATTGTTTGTAGTGTAAATTTGTACTACAAACTATATCTTATATTTAGTACTGTGGCTAGTACTTTCAATTAAGTCAGTATATGTCAGTTGGGTTTGAATTTTTACCTTCAATATTTTGTTTGTATTACTCGTTTGTATTATGTGAAATTCATTTCAACTCTCCTAGGCTAGGTTGTACTAGTATACAGTAAACCAGTTCGTCTCCCTCTCAAATGGCGATGTACAAATTTGCCCGACATTATTTCATTAAACAAACAGTCCAATGAAGCTTACAGTGATTTTATAAAATTGACTAAGTCTGAGAAATGAGTTAACTGCGACTTATTTTCTAATTATCACAATTTTCTTGGGAATATAATTAAATAGGCCTGTAGATTCACGGTGGAACTGTTGCACGATCGCACATGTTTCTCAATTTCTGCAGAAGTGCATATAAGAGACGTAATCTCACGAAAGATCGCGCACCAAGACCCCGACCGAAGAGGACGAACATGAACACCACATAGGCAACATTTATTTTACTCTGAATTTGAGTTTCTAACATAGTTGTTTGCACATGTACAATTTCTACCTAGATTACATAATATTTTTATTGATTTTATCATTTTCTCTCTGAACTAGCACTTCTATTGTCTAATAATGTACGCGCTCTCTGCAATCAATTTAAACCTCAATGGAGGAGTTGTTGGTCAAAAGAGATTAAAAAAGAAAAGTGACACATTCCATACTCATAAAAAAGATAGAAGGCATAAGGTGGTCGTCTTAATTTGAACTAACCAACTTATTTTAAATTGTCCAGATTCAATTTAAATATTTGTATATTTAAAATAATTTTTAATTTTAACAGACATGAAATTTAAAATATAATAATCTTATAATTGATACTTTTTAAAAAAATAAATTATATTGTAAATAGAAAATTTTAAATTGAATGGCTCAAATGTTATCACAACAATGAACACGTGGTGAGGAGCATAGTAAAAAAAAAAAAAAAAACCCACTGGACTTGGGGCTAGATTGAAACTAGAATATGCTGTCCCTGATCTTAATTATAAAATCTCGTTTGTAGATTAATTATCTTGCTCCAAACTATGTATGTACTACCTCTAGTCCTAATCAAATGGTATGATGCGTTATCGCTAATTCAATATGTGCGTGCGTGTGAGAGAAAACTTCTATTTTACTACCTCCGGTCCTAATTAATGAAAAAAAAAAAAGAGCCCGTGCATTACATGACTGTCAATATATCAATATATAGATATGATCTGTCTCATATAAAAATGGCAGCATATTAAAGCAATCACAATGACCAACATACTTAAAAGACAAGACAAGCCAGCCACCGATGGGATTGCTGATCGTCATTTTATATACCACAAAGACCAACCATCCATTAAAATTTGAGATAAAGAAAGTAGAAAATCTGCCTCATATCACAAAAAAGATTATTAATGCGAATGAAAAGTTGTACATTTTTAACTTTTTTATATAAAAAAAAGTATGATAAAAAAGACAACTAATTAATTATCAACCACGCTTGTATGTTTTCATTTATTTAAATCAATGGTTTAGATTTATTTTTAATCTCTTTAGCATTTTTAAAGTCTTGATTTGAATACTCTAATTTTACCTGAGTCAATGCTGTCCTGCAGATGGCCCCCCCCCAACAAACAGAAGTTGTCCCGCAACATTGTATATAAGAATTGCCATATTTTTTTCGTGTTAACTTTTATAATACTAATTAAATATTTGTTTTAGTTACTCAGTGAATTAAAAATGATAATTTAAAGTTGTATAAATCCGTTGCGGGTACCCGACTCTACGAACCTGGCTTGCACTTAAATTGAACTGAAAACTAAATCTTATTTTAAAGACTAAAGGAAGTACTTGATTGCTTACAGTTGAATGATCTACATGACCAGATCACATCATCTTATTATGCATATTAACCACACCTTACTAATTTTGTTATCAGAATTCAGAAACATAACCGTGATTAAATAATCCAAATTCAATGCGTCTTGAATATTGACCGATGGCATTAATTATCTTTTTATTAAACACAGAGATAACTATCACGTGAAGAAAAAAATTGCAGCCAGAGATCAAGTTAAAACTTCATATTACTCCTCCGGTCTTTAATATAAGACCCATTTAACTAATTTGATTAGATCAAGAAAGTTAGGTAAGTTAGTTAATTATAAGAAATGTGATACGTTTTTCCTAAAACACCATAATCATCTTTCTTAATACCCCATCTCCCTCCTCTACTTAATTATGGTTGAAGAAGTATCCATAAGGGTAATTTAAAGAAAATTGATAAATATGAGAAATGAGTCTTATATTTAGGACCAAAACCAACTCAAGAATTGGGTTCTACATTAAGGGCCAAGGGAGTATTATAAAAGTGAAGTAGTATCCAATAATCCTCCTGATGTTATTTTCTAGTAACACTCAACATCATAATCTTATTTATGGTGCATCTTGATAATTTTCTGATGCGTCAAATACTATAATTTTATTCATGGTTTAGGATGTTTGAAGTACTAGGAAAATAACACCACAGTGTATGCAATTAGAAAATATTGCTTTACCTTTATTATGATAAACATTCAAGGTCATTAAATATGAGCCGTGCGTCCGTAGTACAGGAGAAAAAAGGGGAGTGAATTTTGAATAGTCCACGTTGAAGAAAGAGAGGTCAAAAAAAGGAGGCCAGAAGTAGTAGTGCCGAAATATATGTGAAAAGCGGAACTTATTATTTATTAATACAAAAAGAAAAATGAAGTAGCATTCAAATTCAAATATTGAATGTGGGGGTGAATAATTAAACCTGCCTTTCACAGGAACTAGTTTCAATGCTCATCATCTTAACAAGCACTTTAAATTTTTTAGATCTGAATCCTCTATATCTTATTTAGATAGTTCAGATTTGATTTTTTTATTTTTTTATTCAAAATAATTATTTTACTATATATAAAATATAAAATAGAGATAATCTCTTAACTATTATTCTTTTAAAAAATATTTTTTCTATTTAAAAATAATTAATTAAAGATTTTAAATATGAGCTGCTCAAATTAGATATAAACGGGTTGGATAGATTTGATGAATTTAGGGTGCTCATTAAGGTGATGAGTACTAAAACTGGTTTCATCTTCCATATTGTATAATACATTATTATTTTGTCTCCCTACATACACATCCTTTCTTAATTTGGAGCTCCTCTATGGTATAATATGTATATGTTACTTTCATTGGTATCCTATTTGATTGGCGTTACGTATTCCACAATGATTCTCTCCTTTCCTCTTTAATTAATTTATTAATTTATGCCATTAGTCTATCAATTACTTTATCCAATTTAACATGCGTTACATATTTACTAGCTTTTTTAATTACGGGTCTTACCAAAACCACTCTCGTATATTTTTATTTTTCCCCCCCTTTTTGACTGAACTACTCTTACGTATTATAACCGTGCAATTTGAAGCTGTAAATGTTTCACATGCAGCAATAATTCCTGGTCAACAAAGAAATGCAACAATTCTTTAAAAAAATTTATTAAAAAAACCAGCGGACAACGGTGATGAATTGCAAAATATAAAACCTGACTTCATCCGAAACTACTCTCATATTTTAGTTGACTGAATAATTAATCCCATCTATCATATTCTTCGAATTCGTCGTAGTGCGTTTCAAAAGGAACAACCTTTAATTTATTTGTTTTGTATAAGCCTTGATTGTGTCCAATTTATTAAGATACAACAGATAAAGTTGATGAATACTCAATATATCCCCTTAAGCAAAGATTAATTGTTCGAAATTTATTAATATTTAACAAACACATTATGTCAAGGAATCTATCCCAATAATTGAACGCAGCAATTCTTGAATTAGTACTGAATAATAGATAGATAATCGCATTAATAAAAATTTTGAGCCTGTAAGCATTAATTATTTTTAGCATTTTTTGCACCCGTCAAACCAAAAAAAGACAAAGTGAGTTTATATACATAGCAATTAAGGTGAATGAGTCCATAATTGAAGTTGTTGTATGTATATTATAAATATTTGCCTTCCCCGTGATATTCTTTCCTCCTTAATTATTTCCTTCTTTTTTATTCCAACTCTCCAGTGTCTTGGCTTGCTAGGCGTTAGTATTTACAGCTACTCGTGCAAGTATTTAAAAGTAGTTGTCCGATAATAAAATGGAGTTAATTGCTCATATCTTTCTTTAAGAAGACCAGAAACAAAGATGAACAACGCAAAAGACGAATCACAAAAGGCAAAAAGGCACTGTGTATATATGCATGGGTGTTGTCACTGATGATGTATGTCACAAATTATTTAACTTTAATGCGCCTATGAACGAGACGACACTTTCAAACATAGTTGACTTAATCAGTATCCTCCATGTCCCACGAATATGACTCAAATGATTTTATAAATATAAATACATATGTGTGTGTGTGTACATGAAATGAGCCTTTTCAATTATTAACCCCACCACCACCAACTGTAACACTACTGGGTCGGTCATGATATTTCGTTTTTTTGACCCTAGCTAGCTACTTTATATTTATAGATGAGAGAGCGTTTTTACTTGACTTCTAAGCCAATATAATGACAAAGTTGGTGTTGCAAACTTTCTCCATTTGTCCATCCACGTTGATTATTCTACGTATATTAATACTGCTTTAACAGATAATTAAAAACATATGTTTGCCAAAGTTAAACGCATTCGTGCCTAATTATGATTGTGACGGCAACCCAGTAAAAGACGCGACCCATGCATTGGCCAAATCTTGACCATGTTTTAACGTTGTGGTCCAATCTGTCGCCTATTTTACGTAGAATATTTCTAAGTGCTCATTATTACCTGGCCTCCCAAGTTGCATATATCTAACTTAATTAAGCGTGTGGCTTAAGATTAATGCTTCGTTAACTGTACATCTGATCTATCTTTTTTTCTAACCTATTAATTGATGTTTATTTATATTATAAATCAGCGTAAAAATTTATGCATGCATTATATGTGGCTTATCCAGATCTTTCAAACCGCGAATGAATTTGTAGTTGGATTTGGTCATCCACAAGAAAGATGCGTCATCCTTGTGTGCGTGCGTGCTCAGCTTGCTTGTTTGACAATTCAGTGATTTTAATTTGTCCAAATGAATACGAGAGTCAGTATATACTCAATCTTAGTTTTGGTTTTTCGCCTGGTGGATTTTGTCTTAATTACTAAGTCCTATTTAACTTGTGTCTCTGTCATTATTGGCAGGGTGATTAAGTCCATACACGTGCCACTAATCCTGCAAGAATGACCAGTCTTTCTTGGTTAATTAGAAATGATTGGGCATGATAAACAACTTGTTTCGCTTGATTACGAAACGACTTGAAACATCTCAGTGTAGGGCCCATCTACCTATCCCCACCAATTGGTGGAGCCCACTCCATCAACTTGAAACATAATTGATGAGTAACTCCAACATGCTTTAAGGATTTTTTTTTTTTGGGGGGGGGGGTGTTATACAGCTGCCTTAAGAGGTCGACGCGCACCCGGCAATGGACCATCAAGCCACGATTCTCAATTGGCCTGCGGCTTTTAGTTCCGTCTTTTTCTGTTCCGCTTTTCATTTATTTGTTTTTTTCCCCAAAAAAAAAAAAGTAATTTCATCACTTAAATTTAGGTTGACTTTACTCCAAATTTTTGGCTAAACAATAATACCTCCGGTCTTAATTATAAGAGCTAGTTAACTAATTTAAGAAGATTAAAGAAATAAGTTAAATTAATTATTTGTAATAAATTAGTATTATTTTTCGTAAAATATCCTTGCTAATCAAGTATATTGGCTAGAACTACCATTGTTAGAAGGACTACCTTGGAAAAGAATATATAAATATGAGAGACAAAATAGATTGGGATCTTATATTTAGGATAAAAATAAAAATCAAATAAAATCTTATATTAAGGATCGAAGGTAGTATATTTAAAAAATAATTTTTTTATATGTTCATTTTCAGATCAAGAATAAAATCATAAATTCACTTTGTCAAAAATATTAGCTCGTTCACTAAAAACAAATTAGCTCTACCCATATTACTCTATATGTCCATATGTATATTACTCCTAGGAGGATTATGTATTCTTTTTTCTCATTAAAACAAACGGGAAATTATGTAAAGCGGGGAAATGACAATCTTACATTTACAATTAAGAATATAATCTTATAAATTTTAAAAATTACTATGTTCAAGTAAGGTTCCTTATTGAAAATTGGAAAAAAGTGTGATAACTAAAATAATAAAGAGAAATATGTATAAACTATAAAGTGCGTATAGCATGGTTGATTTTTAAGACATTAATGTGATAATAAATATATCATCAATCGATATCAATTAAATGTTAAAAATCTAATAATGCTACGCTCATTGTAAACAGCGATCGTTCATATATACAATTTCTGTTCTTAGATTATTATTATTTTTTCCCAAATACAGTGCCTAGCACTGATACGAATTAAGTAAAAAAAAAAAAAAAAAGAGAGTAGTTTAAGCTACTTTTGAGGAGTTTCAGCATAATTTAAACTCCTTCAATATCAGTATTGTGCTGTTGGGCTGTCACATGTCAGGCAGATGAAAAAAGTCTAATGTGTAATGTACATGAGCTGGTTCCGGTCAAAAAAAAAAAAGTACATGAGCTGGTTGTGAAATTGAATATGTAAAAATTTTAAATCCGCGAAGAAAAGGATCGGAATGATTGCATCATTGTACAATGTAAATGTAAATAGGGAAAAACAAAAATAACTTTTAGAAAAATCATATTTAATTATGACGCATTACTTTGAATTTTTATTAAATTTAGTACTGTATTTACTGTCACTAACAGCGTAAAATGAAAACGAATCCTGCCGGAAAATCAAGTATTACTTATCAAATAAAATATCAAGTTTAATATTATTTATATTCAATTATTTTATCAATGCTATTACAATATAATAAACACATTATATATCCGTGGGGTATGAGATCCAATATTGAAGTCACAATTTTCACAACTTTTTGCCAACGGGCTGTTATCAATGAAAACTTTTATTTTTTTCTTAAAATTTTCATACGCATATATCAGCATTTTAAAAAAAGAGAAAGTATATTTTTTCAAACATTTTAAAGTTATTTTCCCTTACTAAGCACATGAATTCTCATTAGAGGCAATCATATTTAATCGAACATTAAATGTAAATATTTCTTCGGCAAAACTTCAAACCTTCATTTATTATGTTGAAAGAAATTAACTTCTTTCATTAGATGTCACCCCATTTTAAAAACATTTTAAAGCTCTTATCTATCTCATTGCATCAGTGAGAAAGAAGATGCATAATTGAAAAGATCAGTAATTGCGGTTGTGTTTTTTGCTAAGTAGGCCCAACCCAATCTACTGGGAGAGTGATTGGAAATATATAAAATTATTTTTTTTACTAAATAAAATAAAAATTTTTACATATTTATTTCGTATATAAAAAAATATTTTTAAAATTGATGTTTGATTTCTATTCAAACAAAAGTTATGTCGGGTTCATCGTGTTAATGAGTGCAGTTCCTCCTTTATGAACCGGTTCAGGGTAATACCAAAGCTAGTTATTCTTCGATGATTCCCTCGCCCCGAAACTAACACATTTTTGGGCTTTTCAGAAGTCCTTTCACATGAAGACAAAACATACTTATGTCGTAAAGTAAAATTACTTTCAAAAACCTAATCACAGGTACCTGAATGTATATAAAATCCGTTTATGCCAATCATTAAAAATAAGAGATAGAGATTTGGATTAAAATTGAGAAAATATATTAAAAAAATATTTAGCATGAAAGATTTTTTATTATATAGAATTAGATAAACTCATATATAAGGGGTTGGAGAATATCACGAGAGGAGATAGTATTCTCCAATTCTACTTTTATGAATTTGTCTAATTTTATGTAATAAGTAAATGTTAAGTATTTTCCTAATAACTTTTCTCATTATAATCACAATTCCTATCCCCATTTTTAATGCTTTACACAACACAAACAATAAGAGTAATGCTCTGTCCTCAGTATCTGCGTAATCTTTTCTGGATAAATGAATGCACAGAGTACTCATGTTAATTGTATGCGGAAGCAGAGAAACAGAGTAGACGGCACGGCACTCCTGCGCTGTTCCATTGAGTAAGGAATTTCACAATCCCTAGAATGAAAAATCTGATAGTTTCATCAAGAATGTCCGCACAGGTTGGGACACATAAAACTAAACGAACGGTAAGAAATGCAGACAAGGAAAGGAAAGGCATCTGAATCATGGTCCCACTATTGGATTCCGCTGGCGTTGCTCCCACGCACCTCCCCTGCTTTTCCCACTTACTGATGCGCACGCTTCTCATCCTCACGATTAGAATCTTCCTTCTTTATGTAATTTATTTAAATTTTCTTTTAGAATTCTACGATCAGGGAAAAGGAGTTGCATCTTTTTTTTCTGCCTCATAAAAATATAAGCAAAACATTAAATGGAAAATTATAAACTTTGAGATGTTTCATTGTATGTCTGGCTAGTTGGGTTCTGATTCGTTTCTGCACTAATTATATCAAGTCGAATGCATGCCCTGACTCTCTTATTTCAATATTCTTTGTCATTCCGTGCAGAGATCAGCCACCTCACTTGAACAGCTCTTCATTTCCCTTTCAAGTTCTATTTGCCTTCTTCCTCTGCAAATTTCAAATTCCGAGTTTGGTATTCTCCTTTGCAACTGTTGCCATGTCTTTCAGAGGTCTCGGCCGGGTAAGTTCTTCTCTGGCATGAGAATATTTTGGCTTGTCGGAACATGAAAAGCCGTTAATCTAAGCTTTTTGTCGAAAACATTAAACTTGGCTATTATCAGCCAAATGCCTCGTCAGGCATGGGAGTGGCTGATCACAGCAAGAAGAGCTTCATGGAGCTGAAGCAAAAGAAGGTGCATCGATACGTGATCTTCAAAATCGATGAGAAGAAAAGGGAGGTGGTGGTGGAGAAAACGGGTGGTCCGGCGGAGACCTACGATGATTTGACGGCATCACTGCCTGAGAATGATTGCAGATATGCTGTCTATGACTTTGATTTCGTCACTTCAGAGAACTGCCAGAAAAGTAAAATCTTCTTCATTGCGTGGTCAGTTTCCAACCCATAACCTTGAGTTCATTGATGCTGGCACCACATATATATAACGAGACTGTATGGTAACCATGTATTGGTAATCATAGGTCACCTTCAAGCTCTCGAATCCGAGCCAAGATGCTGTATGCGACATCAAAAGACAGGTTGAGGCGGGAGCTAGATGGGGTGCACTACGAAATCCAGGCGACTGATCCCACGGAAACGGATCTTGAAGTTCTCAGAGATCGTGCACATTAATTCACACATCTCCATGCTCTGCCTGTCCTTTTATCTTCATTATATTACATGACTAGTGCACACACGTACGCCTCCGCATTAAAACTACGTGTAACAATAAAGTGAATCTCTCTCGTGCCTAATGGACTTGAGCTTGTATCTCATGCTGGGAATTCTGCATCCCGTCTCTTCAATCAGTAAGCAAGTAATTTGAAATTTGAAATTAACATAAAGTTGTTAATATTTCTCAGATTTTTAATACAGTTAATTAGCTATGAGTAGTTCAGAAAAATACCGGGATATTTTACTTCATCTCCGTGTTTGTATATAATCAATTTGAAAACAGTTATGCTTATTTTTGTATTTTTGTGAATATTTTTGCAAATTAGTTAGATATATTAACAGAGATATATATAGTGTGACGTTAATTTGATCTTCATCTTATGTTTCTTCAATGGCCGATAGTTGAGGTTAATTAAAAAGGTGGAACAACCTGAACAAAAATTTTCCGTACGATATTTTCTATGCTTTTGCCGGCTGGAATTTAGAGTTAAACAAACCACCAAAGTAATCACAAATCAAACATGCCATCTCCGGTCTTAAATATAACATCTCATTCCCCTCGTTTGTAGCATTATTTATTATTTATTGACTAGCAACATTAATTAATTTAATTTGAAGTGGAATGAGATAGAATTGACACCCATTTCTATATATACATGTACCAATTAAATAATACTTCCGAATCTTAATATAAGAGTTTGTTTGACTTTTATTTTAATTCTAAATATATGACACCAATTCACTTTATTTTTTATGTTTATCCATTTTTTTTGAGGTAGTCCTTGTAATAATAGTAGTTTTAACTAATATACTTGATTAGCAATGATATTTTAAGAAAAACACTACCGATTTATTACAAATAACTAACTTAACTTTTAGCCAAAAGAAACTTAACTAGTTTTCTTAATTTACTCAAATTAGTCAACTAACACTTATACTAGTAAGAATTAGAAGTGGCAGCAAGAGGAATTGTTCTATTGTTGCAAACGGGTGCTTGCTCTGTGTGCACCTTGCCTTCGTCTTCCTCCTCAGCTTTCCCTGATATATCCTCCAAGGATTTGCCCTTTGGCTCAGGCACCCAGAAAGTGAGAGCGAAGCCTAAAGCATTAATGGCGCCCAGCACAAGTAGTGAATTCTTCACCCCAATACCAGGACCATACCCTGCATCGACTTTTCTGGGATCCTGATTCTGTGCCAGAGCCAAGAATCCGAATACGCCAACTATAGCCCCCAGGTTCCCAGACGCTGATGATATGCCATGACACGTTGATCTGAATCTGGTGGGGAAAATCTCTGCTGGCACCACAAATGTCGTAGCATTGGGTCCAAAATTTGAAAAGAAGAAAGTCAGAGAGTACAACACCACAAATCCAATTCGGTTCTCCTTCAGAGTCCAGTGGTGGCAAGGAATGGCCAGAGCAAACATGAACACAGTCATGAAAAAGAACCCCATCAACTGGATAGTGAATCTTCCTATTTTGTCCATTAAAGCCACCGTGAACCAGTAACCTGGAACTGCACTGCACAGAGCAATAAGAGTTTGAGCCTTGGCAATGTGGCAAAGCTCGTCGAGGGCGTTCATGGTTTTTGCAGGGGGAATCCATCCAACTGCACTGAATATATCTTTCTGGAAGAGGTTTTGGCTGTAGTAACCGATATCAAGGAAGAACCAAGCGCTCGAGGTTCCTAGCAAATGAAGGCCATGACGAATCAGGAACTCCTTAGAAAACAATCCAAACAACTTGGCCTTTGTCTGATCAGTAGTTTTCTTCTCAACTTTCTCATGCTCAGCTTGAATCTCCACCTGCAAAACCTTGGACATATCAGCCGCTGCTCTCTCTGTATTCTGAGCAACAAGAGCAGTGTAACGAGCAGTTTCAGGCATCTTCATCCTCCAATAATAAGTCAACAAAGCTGGAACCGATCCCGCCATTAGAATAATCCTCCAAACAAAGTCTGCTTCAGGAACCGTTGAGCCAGTTGGATCAACCTGATAAGGAGGAGCATCGAACCTGGACTTGAACGCAGCCGAAATGATCATTGCGAACAAGCCCCCAGCCAAAATCCCAAAACCCTGCATCGCAAATACGGCGGCAATGAAAGCACCACGAGTCTTCTTGCTAGAATACTCAGACATGATGGTTGGAGAAAGTGGGTAGTCTCCACCAATACCAAAGCCAAGCCAGAATCGGAAAAAGCAGGGAGTGTTCATTACAGATTTAGCGGTGTGCCCGAAGGAGAGGCCAGAGCAAATGGCACACATGATCATCGTCAACAGAGTCATGCCGTGAACGGCTCTCCGTCCCACCTTATCTGCCATCCAGCCAAAAAAGAGCTGGCCAGTGAGTGTTCCGCAGAAAGCTACGCCATTAATGGCGGCCGATACGTGGGGAGGCAACCTACCAGGTTTGTCTGCATCTGCCGTGTAATAATAAACACGACCAATCAACTTAGTGACAAGGGAAATGGCGAACAGGTCATACGCGTCCGTGAAGAAGCCTATGCCTGCAATAATGATGGCAGTAAAATGATAGCATTGTGTTTTCGCCACATCCAGTGCCTTCAGCACTTGGATTTGTTCCTTCCCCATGATTTGCTATATATCCTGATGACCTCTCCTTCTCAACGCTTGGCATTCACTGCACAAGTTCAAACGTTGGATCATGCAAAGGCCAAAACAGAGAACGTAATTAGATATGTATGATGCCACAATATTTACTAAAGATATAAATACTGACACAAAACTACTGAACAAGCGCTAAAGTGGCTGGTGTCTCCATGTAGCGATCGTGAGTTGGTGATGAAACGCTGATCTCCAATCTTCTATAAGTATAAATAAAACAGTATTGTAAAGAGGGTGAAGTAAAAGAAGCCTGGGGTAAAGGAGGTAATAAAAAACCGAATTACCAAATAGGGATGAAGGAGAATTTATACGTAACAAGATTAGTTGCAGGATATTCTAAAAGCATATTCTTGAACAAAGTAGCTGTTGAAATAAATAGAATTTTTATTTTTCTTATTTTTCCCTTTGTCTGCACCCCGTAAACACAAACACGCGTTGCAATACTCTAGAATTTCACTTGATGTCTCTTGATTTTTTTAAATCTTGAAACATATTTTGGCTGAGCTTTATTAATATAATAAGAAATTCGTATTGAAATTTAGGGAAACGAATTGTTATTTAACTTAAATTTGAAGTATTCCAGTAACATTGTATACTTCTTGGCGGCAAAGAGTAATATTATATACTGGTTTATAAAAAAAATTAATATCTACATCTTATTAATTAGCTGGTAAAGTAATTGTCCGTGAACTTCACGATTAAAAAGGTACTTGAATGAAAACCAAATCATAATTTCAAAATTAATTTTATAATATATCAAGTAAACATGTAGAGGAGTTTATCTTAATTTACGAAAATATGTTTTTAAAAGCACTTTTGTCTAATACCAAACACTCCCTAAGTTGGTTTTTTTTTTTTTTTGCCAGAATTTGATAAAACTATTGAAAATGCTGTATTGACCTGCTTAACCTACACAACAGTCGCAATTATTATACACGCAACCTTAATTTTTCAAAAAAGCATAGTTTTTAAAAAAAAAAAATACACAAATTCGATTATTCAATTAAAATTTCATGTATTAATATTATTTTATCTAAAACACGGGCCAGCCTATAAAGCTTAACTAGCAGACCGGGCCAGTCAGTTCTAAGTTCTAACTTTCCAACTATTTTTGAAGTGAGTTTTTCTTGTTTTTGTTTTTTAAAGACGAAATCCTGATTTGGTTGTATGTTATGTACATGTAGACGAACCTCTTGTGCTGGCTTGATATTCTCAGATCTCATCCCCAGTATTCTGATGGCATGCATTTTGTTTTTTTTGTGATGGCTTGTGAATTAGTTAATGACTTTTATAATAAGGGGAAGAGGGAGTACCTAATATATCAAACTCCCAACAAATTTGCAACGCACATACAGGCTCCACTTGGTCCCATACACATATATACACATCCATTACGTAATTGCACGTGTCTGATGTAAGAGATCAAGTTATAATTGGAATTGATGTTACATGGACGTGGGATATATGTTTGAATTTCTGGGAATTAGGCAAACACCTTTCGGAATTGCGTAAACCCGAGTATCCCTTGCAAGCCATATATTTGATACAATAATGAATTCCGGTTGTTATCATATTCTTTATCATATATGTTCTTTCAAGCTTCCTAATTTTTAGTAGTAACTGGATTAAGAAGAGCGATGAATGCTAATTAACACCTGATTGGACTCGCACGGTCCATTATATATAATTTTGACATTCGAACATTATTACAACAAGCAGAGAAGGCTAAACAAGGGGAATGTTGTGGACCTTCCCCTGCCTTCACTGTGCATACAGCTTTATTCCTTAGTAGTAATATTGATTGATATTGAAGGAGCAACAAAACCTAAGCACAAGGAACAGTTTTGTTACTGTAACCATGTGGTTGCTCTGCCTCCACCTTGCCTTCGTCTTCTTCCTCATTCTCCCCAGACATTTCCTCCAAAGATTTCCCCTTTGCCTCAGGCACCAAGAAAGTGAGGAAGAATCCTAAAGCGTTAATCACGCCCAACACAAGCAAGGAATTTCTTACCCCAATGCCAGGATGGTACCCTGCATCTACCTTGCTCGAGTCCTTGTTTTGTGCTAGATACAAGAACCCAAACGCCCCAACTATAGCCCCCAGCTTCCCAGATGCTGATGATATGCCATGACACGTTGATCTGAATCTGGCCGGGAAGATCTCTGCTGGCACCACAAATGTCGTAGCATTGGGTCCGAAATTTGCAAAGAAGAAAGTCAGAGAGTACAACACCACAAATCCAATTCGGTTCTCCTTCAGAGTCCAGTGGTGGTAAGGAATGGCCAGAGCAAACATGAACACCGTCATGAAAAAGAACCCCATCAACTGGATAGTGAATCTTCCTATTTTGTCAATTAAAGCCACAGTGAACCAGTAGCCTGGAATTGTACTGCACAGAGCAATCAGAGTTTGAGCCTTGGCTATGGAGTAAAGCTCGTCGAGGGCATTCATGGTTTTTGCAGGAGGAATCCATCCAATTGCACTGAATATATCTTTCTGGAAGAGGTTCTGGCTGTAATAAGCAATGTCAAGCAAGAACCAAGTGCTCGAGGTTCCAAGCAAATGAAGGCCATGACGAATCAGGAACTCCTTAGAAAACAATCCAAACAACTTGGCCTTTGTCTGATCAGCAGTTTTCTTCTCAACTTTCTCGTGCTCAGCTTGAATCTCCACCTGCAAAACCTTGGACATATCAGCCGCTGCTCTCTCTGTATTCTGAGCAACAAGGGCAGTGTAACGGGCAGTTTCAGGCATCTTCATCCTCCAATAATAAGTCAACAAAGCTGGAACCGATCCCGCCATTAGAATAATCCTCCAAACAAAGTCTGCTGAGGAACCGTTGAACAGTTGGATCAACCTGATAAGGAGGAGCATCGAACCTGGACTTGAACGCAGCCGAGATGATCATTGCAAACAAGCCCCCAGCCAAAATCCCAAAGCCCTGCATCGCAAATACGGCAGCAATGAAAGCACCACGAGTCTTCTTATTAGAGTATTCAGACATGATCGTGGCAGAAAGTGGGTAGTCTCCGCCAATGCCGAAGCCAAGCCAGAATCGGAAAAAGCAGAGAGTTGTTATGACAGACTTGGGAGTGTGTCCAAAGGAAAGGCCAGAGCCAAGGGCACATACGATCATCATCAACAAAGTCATGCCATAGACAGTTTTTCGGCCGAGCTTATCGCCCAGCCAGCCAAAGAAGAGTTGCCCAGAAAGTGTACCGCAGAAGGCCACGCCATTAACTGCAGCTGACACGTTGGGAGGTAGGTCCCAGTCCCAGGTTTGAGTGAATTGGGTTCATGGTAGTAAATACGACCAAGCAATTTGGTGACGAGGGAAATTGCGAAGAGGTCATATGCATCAGTGAAAAAGCCATTCCTGCTATGATGATTGCAGTAAAATGGTTACCATTGTGTTTTTGCCAAGTCCAATGCATTCAGCACTTGAATTTGTTGCTTCCCCATGCTTCACCCCAAACCCCTTCTCTGTTCTTCCTTTCTTCAGTGGCTTGCCTTCATTGCACCAGTTGAACCAAAATTGTATTAGTAAATACGTATAATATCTCTTAATCTCA